AGTACTCGCGGACGGTGGAGAAGACGATACAGCCAGCAGACGATGGTAGTCTGGGGCAAAGTGTACAAGAGCGAGAAGAGGAGCGCAAGCGCAAGCGGTTACGCAAAGACACCAAGCCATTTCAGCGTGGCATAATAAGACATGTCGTACTGGTGCTGGATCTATCAGAGGCCATGCTGGAAAAGGACATGCGCCCCAACCGTTTCATCACCATGATCAACTACACGCAAGACTACATTCGCGAGTTCTTCGAGCAGAACCCTATATCCCAAATGAGCGTTCTGGGTATGCACGACGGCGTCTGCATACGCGTCTCGGAGCTGTCTGGCAATCCAGCTGAGCATGTCGCGGCGATACAAGGTCTGAGAAGTAAGGATGATGGCAAGGAGCCCAAAGGCTCGCCCAGTCTGCAGAATGCTCTCGAGTTGGCGAGAGCAACACTCTACCACACGCCCAGTCATGGCACACGAGAGGTCATCGTCGTCTTCGGCAGCCTGCTGAGTCTGGACCCTGGCGACATTCACCAATCTGTAAAGGCGTGTGTGAGGGACCGGATACGGGTCAGTATCATTGGTATGGGCGCACGCCTCAAGATATGCACCGAGATTGTCAAGCGAACCAATGCAGGCGACGAATCCGAATATACAATCGCCACAGATCAGGAGATGCTTCGGGAGCTGCTCCTAGCCACAACGACACCACCCGTTATCCGACAGCCTCTGGTTACAGATAAGACTGCGCCAGCCACGACAGCCCAATCTTCAGAATCAGCTGCCGCACTAATGATGATGGGCTTCCCGTCACGGGTAGTAGAAGATCAGTTGACCATGTGTGCATGTCACGGAAACTTGACAATGGGCGGCTATACGTGCTCTCGGTGCAGCGCAAAAGTTTGCTCTCTACCCATCACTTGTCCTTCATGCCAACTCACACTCCTCCTCTCCACTCACCTGGCGCGCTCGTATCACCATCTCTTCCCCCTTCGCAATTGGGCCACAGTGTCGTGGTCGCGCGCCCGTGAGATGGGCAGCAAACAGTGCGTGGGCTGCTTGGCTGCCTTCAGCAACCCACCGAGCAATGCCAAAGAGAACGGTGAAGCCCAACAAGACACTGAGGCAAAAGTCACGAAAAAGCACGACGATGACAGCGAGGAGCAGAAAGCCAGTGAAAGTGGCAGGTATGAGTGTAGGGCCTGTGAGAGCCACTTTTGCATTGACTGTGATATGTTTGCACATATGGTACTGCATAACTGCCCAGGATGCTTGGGAAGGCTAGATCCCAACACGGCTGCTACAAGCAATGGGGATGTGGAGATGAGTGGTTGAGATAGAATTCGCACCCAGCTTTGAAGTTTGCTAGCGAGAACGATTGATCAGAGCGGATGGACTGTAAGGAAATACCCACGCGCTGGAAGCGCCAATTGCAAGATTGGTACAAGGTTGATTTTTTTTTTGAATTGCTACATCGCTCTCTCGGTTACATTCTGTGTGATTTCCATGTAACTATACCATTGTCTTTGACCAAACTACACTACACACTCAGGATGAAGGTATATAGTCCGGAAGAACGTTCATCCCCATCAAGCCTGAGCATGACGCGTAGTCCCGTGAGTACGTAGGGGCAGTACCGGCAGATTCTCTCGGACTATTGCACACGGAAATGCCGAACGGCAGCCCCGCGTACGTGGGGCAGGTTGCCTCGTTGAGCATACTCCACATTCCGCAAACGCGCCATTGTGCGTCTGCAATTGTTCATAAGCCGTTTATAATCCAGGTTTCTTAGACTCACACATGTTCTCTCTCCCCATACGAGCTCTTGTCCACTACACACACATTATTCCCAAGCCAGTGCTTGCTTGTCGTTACGTCACTCCCCACTATAGAGTTCCATCAACGAACCCGGTACAGGCATATTTTAGTACAGCTAGCAGAGCAATGGCGGCTTTTGAACGATTGATTCGATTTGAGGATGCCGAGGGCAAGACACTGTATGGTAATCTGGAGAAAGAAGTACCTACGAAGGATATCCAGGGGAGTACCGTCGAAGTGCTTGAAGGCGATGTGAAGACTGGGTTTAAGAAGACTGGTAGCAAGGCCGCAGTTTCAAAGGCATGTTCAATTGACGCTTTTGTATTCAATGTCGATTGAGCAGAACTGATAAAATACACGCTGTAGCTACTAAGCCCACTTCCAACTACAAATATCATTCTCTGCGTCGGACTCAACTACCGCAAGCATGCCCAAGAATGCAATGTACGTAATCACCCAGCAGCAACACGGCATTGTCTCCTAACCACACTTCCTATTCGTAGCTCCAAATCCCCGAAAACCCAGCCATCTTCATGAAGCCCAGCGACGCGCTCGCAGGCCCCCTAGACGACATACCCATCCCCAAGACCTGCCAATCACAACTCGACTATGAAGGCGAACTCGGCATCATCATCGGACGCGACTGCAAAAACGTCGCCGCAGCAGACTACGCCTCGTACATTCTGGGCTACACGGTCGGCAACGACGTCTCGGCCCGCAACTACCAGGTGCCTGCATCCGTGTCTGGCGGCCAATTTGGCTACGCAAAGTCATTCGACAAGTTTGCCCCCATCGGCCCTTGCATTGCGAGTCCCGCCATCGTACCGGATCCGCATGCGTTGACGTACTGGACCAAAGTTAACGGGGAGAAGAGGCAGGAGACGGGTACGGATGATATGATTTATACCGTTGGCCAGATTATCGAGCATCTCAGTCGTGGAACGACGCTTAGGGCTGGCACAGTCATCTTGACAGGGACACCAAGTGGAGTTGGGTTGTTTATGGAGCCAAAGGGGTTCCTGAAGGACGGGGATGTAGTGGAGATTTATGTCAAGGGGATTGGGAGTTTGGTTAATACTATGAGATTTGAGTAGTGTTACATGGTAGTGTGGTAGTGTGGTAGTGTACATGTCACTGTACACGCAAAGCCGCTGTGCTTGAAAAACATTTCAGAATTTACCACACATTGGAGAAAAGGGAACGTAGCTTGCCAAAGAAAAAATAGTTGCAGCATGATGATTCATCTAACCTGTTTTGTCAATCAACACATGTCCGAGGAAAGAGCAGTCAAGAGCATGCATATATGTTGCATATCTTGGCGCACCTGCCCCGTTTGCCTGGGAGAAGCCTCTTCTGTTCTAGTGCTGCATGATTCAGATCTGCAACCAGATCTAAACAGCTGTCACATGAACAAAAAGGGTTCATGTGTTGAAGCACTGGAAGCATGATGCCGAAACACAGGTGTGGTCAGAGTGGGTTGATGCCACTTGAGCACGTCCGCCTGGCGCATTGAACGAATGAGGAAGATGAAGCATGACTAACAGCAACAGAAATATCGGTGCTACTAGAGAAGTGGCACATGGAGAGAGCAGTCATATCAGTGAAGTGCAACCGCAATACACTCATCATCGTCATTATCATCCCCGCTGCCGCTGCCGCCGCCGCCGCCACCACCTGCCAATACGAACACATCCGGGATCATCCAGAGTTGCAGATTTTTTCGCCACAACAGGAACAACAAGAATAGCAGCATAGACGATATTTACGGATAGTGGCCACACACATACATACACACCCCAAGTGGGCGCTAGGGAGCGGGCGGCAGCAGCAGCAGCAGCACCTCGAGGCAGACAAGGGAAAAAACCTCTACCCACCCAACCCCTGCATTCATGCTTTCTCGCTCAACAAGCACCAAGTTGTTTTACATTGCTCGTATGTAGCATATCACTAGACCGGACCAGGGGTGGGGGACATGGGGAATACCAAGCTTCAGTCACACGAGAACAACCAAACCCATGTTCCATGTTTGAAAGAAGACAGGACTCTCAGGTTTGAGACCTCTCTTCATGCTAGAGCGAGTAAAAGAAAATCAAGCCCCTGTTCCGCCCGGATGGAGAGAGAGAGAGAGAGAGAGAGAAAGAAAGAATACGAGAAAAATCCTTGTATCTATACACATGAACAAAAACCTACACACACGCACACACACACACACACACACACACACACACACACACACACTATCTCTCTTTTCTGTCACGTCTTGTGACGCTGGGGGGTTGGAAAAACATGTTCATGTGTGTATGTATGTACATGTGCTTATTTTGCTTTACTTCCTTCCCCCACCATCCATGTGTGGTTTTGGTGGCTTATGTCTAAGAAACCCTTGCATCTAGAACGCCTTCAAGAACGGCCAAAAGTAAATGTATTGAAGCGGGATAGCAACAAGGGAAAAAGATGGGCCAGAAAAGTGTGAGTGTGCGGATGCGGGTTTTGGGGGATTTCGATTTAGTCCCCCCAGGGAAGTAGTGAACATGTTTAGGTGGATTCCTTTTGGGTTCTGGGGCTAGACGTCTTGGGGAGGGGTTTGATTTGCGTTGCAAGCCACGCTTGATTACGTATGCTTTGGTATATGTGTGTGTATGGAAAGGGTTGGGGAAACGGGAGATGTGATTGAGCATGGTATTGGAAGCAGCACAATCTTCTTTTTTTTTCATACACGGAGATTTGAAAAGAAAAGGTATATACAGCGTTTACAAGGCGAGGGCCAGGATGAAGACAACATGGCCCAGATGGGACAAAAGAGAGGTTGCGATGAGCGAGTTTGATGGCGGCGGCTTGCATGACGGGTCCAAGAGCAAAAGGGGCAAGGCGGCCATGGGCGGTCGGTGGCAGAATGTGGGGGGCGTAGTGTGTCACATGCCACACGTCTGTTTCTGACACAGCCATGTGAATGCTTGCTGGAGATGTCGGGTGAGCCAAGGGCAGTCTAGAGGGGTGGAGGGGTGTCACCCGTGCAGTGGCCGGGCTGGACTGGGCTGGGCGAGGGCGAGGCGGGCAGGCGGGCCTGATGGATGGATGGGGACAATGCGGTTCTGCTTCGTGGGCAGTAAGCAGGACAGGAAACGGCATGATGGGGATGATTGACGGGCGCATGTGTGGATGGAGGGTGGGTGTGTGTTTGGTCCGGCGCGGTCAATCGGCCTCGGACCACCAAGCGCGACGCGGCGTCTTGTCTTGTTCGGTGATGCACAACGACTCTTCTTCCTCCTGGTCGCGGATGCGGGACAGGGATGGATAGAGCGGGCGAGCGAGCGAGGGCGGCGACGGGGCGGCAGGACAGGGTGGTGATCCACTCAGACTGGCTGGACGCACAGTGTGCTCGGGTGGTGGGAGGCATTTGGGGCTGGCGAGTGGGGAGGGCTGCACAGTGATCAGCCCCGGCGCTGATTCGCCGGCCGGGGGCCCGCCAGGTTTCGGTTCGATTCCAGGTGGCCCCTTGGTCGCCCTTGCCTCGATAGATAGCGTCGCCTCTTCCTCGTGACCTTCTTCTTCCTCGTGATCCAAAGCCCTCATCGCTGCTGTGCTGCTGATAGTCCTACAACAGACTCCATCGCGGGCTCGCTGAAATACCAGAGGTAAGAGAAGTGTTTTGCTTTCGCTTTCCACACTCTCGTTTTTCCCGCGCCTCGCCAAAAATTCCCCTCGTCGTCTTCTGGTCGCCAGCGCAGACGTCGACGCAGTGCAAAGGCCGTTTTCTTAATCTTACTCGACATCACGTTACCAAACCAATCGACGAAACCGACTTGGTGAGTTGGACCCGTACGGTCGCTTTCCTGCTCGCCTGCGCACTCCTTGTGCCTCCGCCCGCGCCTTTCTCTTTTCTTCTTCACGACTTGCGACGCCGCTCGCGACCCTCACCCGCGCCCGCTCGACGCCCTCGTCCAAGAGCGAGCACGAGGGGAGAGGCAGACGACAGCGTTTGGTGGCGCCCATGTTGCTCCGCATCCCGCAGCCGCAGCATCATGGAGACGCGCATCCACGACGAAACGACGCACGACTCCTCTTGTGCGCCTCGCTGCCACCCACCGGCCATTGCACCATGAGCCCGCCTTCCTTTGCGTCCTGACAGCTGCCTCTCTCCGGCCGACGCCAGACCAGATGCGCCCAATCGCCTGCCTGCAGCGGAGCCTGCTCTCGCACCACCTGGATTGCATCTCATTCACCTGCCTGCCTGCGCCCGTGCTAATGTTTGTCCAACACAGACTGTCCATGCTAAGCGCATAACTGCCAGACCATCTGCTGCGTCTTGCGTCTGCGACTGCGACTGCGCCTACTTCCTCTCTTGGCTTTGCGCGTGAACTGGCGGGCAAAGCGTTCGCGACTCCGACTCCCCCGCCTCGGCTGTATTGCGCCTGCGGCTTACCATTCGAGCGCGTCTATCCTGTCCCTGCCCTCACTCTCCACCAACCACCGCCAACCCGCGCACCCTGTTGCCCACCTAAGCCTCCTTACCTACCCAACTTTCCCATTCACGCACCCACGACGGCGCGACTGCATCGCATTTTGTTCACTGCCACGCCGCCATCTCTGCCTCCCACCCTTGCCCTGTCCTTGGCGCGGACCTGGCATTCACGCGCCGGTCCCTTTTGCGCAGTGCCTAATTTACAGCACTGCCCACACCCACTTTGACATCGCCCTCTCTTAATACCTCCCCCAGCATCCCTTCCTTGCCAGACACCATGGCGGATACTGCCGGCTACCCGACCGACAGCAAGTTGGATGCCCACAACAGCGTCCACACCAACAAGCGAAAACGCGACACGCGCGACCAAGGCATCAACCGGCCCGCACCACACAACTCCAACAGCGACTTGACCGACCAGGCCACCGCCTCTTTCCTTGCTGCACACAACGCCGCTGACGACGACATGCAACAGCAATTTGACGTGCACCATAATGGCGGCACCAACGCGGCCAGTGTGGGCGATACCGCAGCCGCCGCCCTTGCCTACCACCAGATGACAGTGCCCCAAGCGACCGAGCTCCAATTCCAGCCCCAAAATTCTGGTGACGGCTCATTTGGAATGGGCGACCACAACCAACAACAAACGGGCATGCAGGACTTTAGCCTCGAAGCTCTCAAGGCTGCAACACAGACAGGTCGCCCAGGTCAAGCAGCGCCCAGCGACTCACCGCCGCAAAGCGCCACTCACAAGCCCCAGGTTGGCACAGAAGAGTGGCACAAGGTGCGGAGGGACAATCACAAAGAAGGTGCGTTCACTTGTTGTTGTTTTTCTCGTGCTTGAAAGATTCCACAACTAACCTGAGTACAGTTGAGCGCCGCCGTCGCGAAACAATCAACGAGGGCATCAACGAACTCGCCAAGATTGTTCCAGGCTGCGAGAAGAACAAGGGCTCAATCCTCCAGCGCGCCGTACAGTTTATCACCCAGCTCAAGGAGAATGAGCAGCAAAATATTGAAAAGTGGACACTTGAGAAGCTATTGACTGAGCAGGCCATTACCGAGCTTAGCGCCAGCTGTGATAAGTTCAAAGCAGAGTGCCAACGTGCATGGGACGAGTGCCAGATTTACAAGCGCGCATGCGAGAACAACGGCATCCTGCCTGACGAAATCAAAGAACGCCAAGAAAACGGCGAGCAAACAGGGGCAAATCCAATGTAGAGTGGTGATTTTGCTTTTCTGGACCCTGCAGTGGAGCATGTTCTTTCGACACGATGCTGACGAAGTTTTTGTTACTCTTGAAATATACATGTGCGCTTCTTTTCTGTGGGGATGTTTTAACTCCCCTTGTTGTCTTTCATTGGCACATGTAGTGCTAATCAAGGCTTACTTTTGACTCGGCGTACGGGAGTGCAAGTCTCGCTCGCTTGAGCACACGGGCTGTCGTTTGATTGTCTGCATCAGCCCGATAGTAATCGCGGTGCGGGTATGGGCTCCTTCTACTTGCAGGTTATGGTGGCTTTGTTTTATTTCATGTCGTTATACACATATATATTCTTTTTCTTGGAATGTTGAGCGATACATTCACAGCCACACGAGCTATTCTGCAGTAGCATGGAAAATCTGTAAACTGCTTCATCTCAGTTGTCGTGCAAATGATGGACGGAAAGTGATGTTGGCTAGCAGTCAAGTCGCGCTAGTGAAACCCTGCCTACGCATGAGCCGACGGCGCATTCCCACCCACCCCCCACCTGCATCCTTACAGCGACTCACCTTCTCCGACTTGCAGACACACGCGTTTCCTCAATGTGCTCCTAGCAATCTACCAAGAAGCCATGAACTGCACATAAAACCGGTGTCCCGCATGTGGTGGGCACGACTCGTCTAGCCCCACGGCCTATCATTTCACAATTTAAACACTTGTCGCAAACGGACATGGAGAACCACGACGTACCTGGCGAACAACCACTGCCACCCCCGGTAGTGGATGGGGCTGAGCTGATTGGAAACTCGAATGCTGATTTTCCAGTCATCGAAGCTGAGCCCGAAGAAGAGCTTGGTCTGCCCCTCGATACTGCTGAACAGCAACGACTACTGCTCGACCAAGATGACAACCAACCTCAAGCTGGCCCTCCTCTAACGTTGCCAACACGTCCGGGCCTACAACGAGGCAATTCGGTTCCTACACCTGCACCACACCTCCCCCCTCCCGCACCGCCTGGACCGCCTCCAGATACCCCGCAAAACGACTCGCTTTCGCTGGCGCAGTTGCAACATCTTGTCCGGGGCCTACCCAAGGTCGAGCCTGCTCCATACGCCTTCAGTTATGATGATGCTTCGTCTTTTGAAGAGGAGCTCGAGGAATGGTTTTCATATGCAGTGGAAGAGCAGGCCATGCTTCTCAAGACACAGGCGTCATACGCATTGGAGTGGAGCGCATTCCACGGGCTAAGCGACGCGACCGATAGCGAAAACGGCTTGGACTGGGCTTCTGCGGCACCATCGCAACGCAAGGAGTTTGTTGAACAATTGCTGGCAGGACTGAAAGAGCTTGACCCCGTCTCAAGGTTGAAGAAGCTTGAGGCATTACTCTACCTTCTTCTCGGGTGCTGGTATGAGAATGCTGGTCTACCGGAACCGACAGAGGACAACGAGACGACGTCGGACCATGCGCGCAACGATGCGCACCGAAAGTCAGGAAGGCAAGTTGCGCTCATCAAACGCAATGTGTACTTGCTGGCTGAATGCGACGGCGTGCAGAGCCTCGTGGACACGCTCGACGCTTCGTTTCAGAGAGCATGTGGGGTTGATGTCGTACCCGATGTACAGCGCGACTCGAAAGAAGCGGAGCGACGAGAGATTTGGTGTGCTATGACAGCCGTCTACGTTGTATTGGAAGTCGCACGCGATGCGGAAAAGGCAGAGAACAGCACTGGACTCCGAAGCGCTATCCTTGATTTGAAAAAGCCAAGTCTGCTTGTCCTGTTCGTCGATGTCATCGCAAAGCTGAGATGGGATGAATCGATCAATCTGCCATTATGCAAAATCTCTTTGCTGCTATGGAAAACAATGCTGGTAACATTTGGTGGTCTCAGGGAAGTCGACAAGGTCAAGGAACAGTTTCGGGACAGCAATCTCGACTCGGAAGATTCCAAAGGACATCCGCTCATCACCGCCTCACCTCTCGATTATCACCTTTTCCGCCAAGAAATAAGCTCAAAGTATCCAGCATACAATCCTCCGCCTCCGCTCTTCCCCCTGGAACCAGAAAACAACTCCATCCTACCACCGCTCAAGAACCATCCTAATAAAGTCGCCGGCAATCATGTTTTCGGGTCTGGGCTCGGAGACACGAATGGAACCACTACTTCTATCCTGCACCAACCCATTCATATCGCAACTCCAGCGCCATCACCCCCTCCTTCTCCGGCAGGCCCGGGCGGCAAAGGTGGAAAGAAACAGAACTACCAGACAAATCAGATGTTTCCTTTCCTGTATCCACCACTTGACGAGTCTAGTAACAAGTTGGGTGGTAAAGGTTCAACTGACCTCCAGGACCTTCTCTGTGGCCGGAAATGGGAAGGCTCGGATATTCCGACGTCGATCATGGAGGCTGCAGAACTTTTTTCGAAGCGTATGAAGGCTACTCGCGCCATGAAGCAGCTGTGGGAGGAACGTGTTGCCTTTATGAAGTATGAGCGGGGTTGGACAGGCCCTGATGACCATCCTGATGTTGAAGAATTGTCTCTTGAACCAAAAGATAACGAGCCCAAGAAGCAAAACCTTGCTCCTGGAAGCGTTGAGGAGAGACTGCAACTCGTGGAAGAGTTTTATGTGAGTGTCAGCCAGGCACGCCCCGAATTTACTAAGCTGACAATCACAGCGCGTTGCATTACCAAATTTACAATCGTTGATTATTGTCTTGATCAAAGCAATCCTGGCACATGTAACAGCCCTAGTCACACAATCAAGCGGAGCCAACGGCCTCCAAAGCGGATTCCAATTTCAGGATAACCAGAACGGTACGACGGCTGGGCGACCTGATCTGAATGGCATGAATGGCCACAATGGCACTCTGGCTACAAATGAGGAGCTGGACGCTATGCGAACCCAGGAAGTGCTGGACAAGGCAGTTACCGGTACCCTCATTCTCATCTTGAAGTGGTTCAAGGTCTCTCATATCTTGAAGTTTGAGTACATCACTCAGCTACTCGTTGATTCGAGCTATGTTCCTCTGATCCTAAAGCTATTGCAACTACAAGAAGTTGAGAAGATTGTCAATTTCAAGAGTGAGCAAGAAGAGCTCAATTTCTTCAATTACTGTCGGTCGCATTCGAGAAATGCGTCTGAAGAGGAGGTCAACGTACACCATGAAGGAGATTTGCAGGAAAGAGACTCTGATGAAGATGATGCAGCCCCGCCCCCGATTCGCCGTTCGAGACTAGACTCCAACGAATCGGGCATCGAGCCAGCAATACAACCCACACAATTGCAGCCCCCGGAGGTGGACGAGCTCGGCTTCCCGACCAACGAATTGCCGAAAGAACCAATCACCAACTTCTCCTGGCGTGCGTTCTTCACTTCAATCAACTACTTGCGCATCATGCAGAAGATATGCAAAAACAAAGCGCATCGCAACCTTATGCTTGTTTCATACAAGTCATCCCAGTTTCTCCGTAAGAGCCTCAAAGTACCGCAGCCAGAGTTGCGCCTTTATACTCTCAAACTGTTCAAAAACCAAGTCCCATACTGTGGTCGCAAGTGGCGACAATCCAACATGCGCGTCATTACAGCCGTGTATCTACACTGTAGACCAGAGCTTCGAGATGACTGGTTAGCGGGAAGCGACGTGGATGCGGAAGTCGACGAGAGTGTCCCTCTCGAGCAAGCCTTACGATCACTGACGCACTGGCATAATCTGAAGCGGTATCCAGAGAGTTTGGGCGCCAAGCCTGGCGTCCTTGAAGAAGAGCAAGACTTCTTCCGCAATGAGCTCGAAAAGATGGATTGGGGCGATGAGGGCGTCAATGAAGGCGAGATGGAGCAAGGCTGGCAGGATCTTCAGGTTGAGGGTTGGTGAGCATCTTGCACGCCGCATCTATGCCTCGTCATCTTACAGCTTGTATACTTATCCTAACCGTCTGATACTCAATTAGGGCACCGTATTGATTTTCCGCATAGATGGTGCTGATCGAGAACGGTCTCTCGTGCGCCCTGAGCACCAACTGCACGGTCGCCGAGAATCCGTTCGCGATGGCAAGATGTCAAAGTCGGATGCTACACGTTCCTTTTCTTCGTCAAAGAAAAAAGACTGGCCTGGGTCAAGTGGATCAAAACGAATTTGTTCACGAGATATCCACGCTGAACTCGAAGAGCTTATCAAGGCGTCAACAGAAGAAGACGACGATAGTGGGGAATCCGAGCACACTGAAGACACCATAGCAAAGAAACAAAGAAGGAGGCAAGGGCAGTTTTCCCTTCTGTGTGAGCCTGAGATAAGGAACGAAAACGAGGGTAGGCGCAAGTGCAGGACGAGAAGGAATAGACGTGTTTTCAAGCCTGAAGAAGGGTAGAGGGTGTACTCCAGAGTCGCTGGCTATGAACTCGAGAATGATACCCGAAAGGTATGTGGGTGGCCATGAGCTTGAGCAAATCTAAAGATGTATTATTTTGCAATGTTTGCCTACACAGTGAATCATGGGCTTAGGCCAAAGAACGACCCAGATATATAGTTCGTGTGTAGATGCCGCGGCGTTTGGGGAGGGTAGTTGATCCGCCAATCAAGCAGCCGGATATGTGGCTGACCTGCGCGAATAAAGCAATGCGGCCCGTCTTGCCTGACTCGGCGTGGCACTACCCCGAGCTTCTTTCTCCACAACTGCGGGTTAGTTGGAGGTCGTCGGCATTTGCTCCGCCTTCGGTCTTCCTCTGTGCCATTTCCTTTCTTATTCTCTCCAGTCATCTGTATACATTTGTTGTGTGTTCGTTGCTTTTTTTTTCACCCATAGTGAAGGTTTCCCACATAGACTTGATCGAACGCATTCGTACAATGGCGAAGGTCTTTGATTACGCTGAAGGTCCGTCGCAAGTACATCCGGGACATCAATTCCTCGTGGCTGACCCATACGATTAGTTGCAAAGCACAATACGGCAGAGAGCTGCTGGGTCGTCCTATACGGCAATGTCTACGACGTAACGCGCTTCCTACCTGAGCACCCCGGCGGATCCAAAGTCATACTCCAGCTCGCAGGCAAGGACGCGACGGAAGAATACGATCCTATCCACCCTCCAGGCATGCTCGAAGAAAACCTTCAGGCTTCGGACAAGCTCGGCACAATCAACCCAGACACGCTACCAAAAGAAGAAAAGACACCGCTGGAGACTGGCGAGGCGCAACAAGACGGGCCTGTAGACCTGGAGAGTCTTTTGAATATCGACGAGATTGAAGAGGTGGCGACGAAGAAGATTCCGCACAAAGCATGGGCATATTACTTCTCTGCAAGCGACGATCTGCAGAGTAAGTCATTCAACAACAAGGTGTACAGGAGCATACTACTACGGCCACGGGTGTTTGTCGACTGCACGCGCTGCGATACCTCGACGACTTTTCTTGGCCATAATGTCAGAATTCCTATATATGTTTCTCCTGCCGCAATGGCCCGGCTAGCGCATCCAGACGGCGAGTGGGGTATAGCGCAGGCGTGCGAGAAGTACGGTGCCATGCACCTGATCTCGCAAAACGCATCCATGACACCCGAGCAAATTGTTGCAGATGCGAAGCCAGGCCAGGTGTTTGGATGGCAACTATATGTTCAAAACGAGCGGCAAAAGAGCGAGGCTATGCTTGCCCGTATGAACAAGCTTGATTGCATCAAGTACATCTGTCTCACACTCGACGCGCCTGTGCCAGGAAAACGCGAACATGATGAGCGCAGCAAAAACGTTGGCTCCAACTTGCCTCTCCGTGCAGCCGTGCAGGAATCTCAGAGCGTAAGCAAGACGTCAGCTGATGCAAAGACACCAACACAAGCAAGTGAGAATGAAAAGTCCAAACCAAAGAGCATGGGCGTAGGACAGAGTTTGTTCTGGGGCACGGCGGCGGACTTGACATGGCGTTCCACACTGCCCTGGCTCAAGAAGCACACGGACAAGCCCATTGTGCTCAAGGGCATCCAAACACACGAAGACGCCTACCTTGCTTCCCTCCACGCGCCACATGTCAAGGCTATTATTCTTTCCAACCACGGTGGTAGAGCGCTGGACACGGCGCCACCTGCCGTACATACCTTATTGGAGATTCGAAAGTACTACCCAGAAGTCTTTGACCGTATCGAAGTCTGGGTCGACGGAGGCATTAAGCGTGGAACAGACGTTGTCAAGGCACTTTGCCTGGGCGCCAAGGGCGTGGGTCTCGGTCGGGCTGCGCTGTTTGGCCTCGGAGCAGGAGGCAAAGAGGGTGTAGAAAGGGTGCTTGAAAGTAAGTTTTTTTTTTCTTTCTTTCTTTAAAGTCATGTGTTGTCATGTAAACCAATTTCGCTAACAACAAACTACAGTTCTCAAAGCGGAAACGGAAACATGTATGCGCCTTCTTGGTGTAGAGAAGATTGAGCAACTTGGTATGCAGCATATTAATACGCGAGCTGTTGAGCGCGATATCTGGGATGGACCGATGCTGGAGCGAGCAGAAGTCAAAGCTAAGCTATAGAAGAGGGGGGGAAATGGTGAAACGGGAGTGGAAGCATTGTGTGGTGGACCCAAAAAGATAGTAATGATATTTGCCGTTGAAAATCGAGCCATCGAGCCATCGAGCCTGACTAATTGCCATGTACCCAAGTGTGCCCAGCAAATTAGTGAAGCGTGCCATTTGCATGTTTGTCTCATCGACTCATGCTTTATTCTCAGAGGGGTGGGAGAGAGCCGTCGAATGTTACTCATGTCAGTCACGGAGCCGCACGCAGCTGATGATTTGCAAAAAGAAAAAAGAAAAGAAAAAAAGAAAAAGGAACAGTCTGCAGCCCCAGCGAGGCCCGCCCACCGGTTCGTCAAATCTTACACGCACAGGCACAGGAACAATTACGTATCCCGCTGGCTTGGTTTGTATCCACTATAACCTTTGTTTTGATTAGTGGGCACCTGCCCGAGGAAAGGGGGGGGGGGGCGGGTTTCCAGTTTTGTGGGTAAAGGGTAAAAAAAAAGGAAAGAAGGGTAGTGGGGGGGATGTTGTGGCGGTGGATTGACAGGGTGTGGCTGAATCCTTCGTAACTTTTTTCTTTCTTTACCTTTGTCCTGCGTTATTGAGCGTGTTTCAGGATAGCCTTGCGGAGCCGAGCCGAGCCGTTGGTGGGTTTCATAGTGACTAATTGACGGTTCGTACAAACGTAGAAGGGGAAGGTCTTTGATAATGCTGTGGAGACTAAGGTAGAGTTAGTTGTCGTCGATGATGGATTTTCTTTTTGAGAAAAGAAAAAGGAAATGTATTTCTATAGGGTATCTTTGATGAAGAATGGAAAAACTCCCCCCTCTCCTTCCCTGGTCTATCTAGTATTATGTGTATCAATGTGCGGGCTCGAGACGATTGCGAACCACAGCGAACGCCCAGCAAAACCTTCCATCTACCCATTGAGTGGAAGGGTGGGAAATGAAATCAGGAGATGAACTCAGCAAACCATGGCCGCTAGTAAATTTCCCCACCCACCCAAACACCCCCGTTGCCGCAAACTGGCAACCAATGCGGCGCCTCTTCCTTCCAACCCACACACCCCGCGCCATATCGTTTTTTCTTACCCGCTCTCAACCCCTCCCCCCCTCCCCTCCACCCCCCAGTCCTCGCGATTTCACAAATCCCAGTGTGACACAATGGCTACGTACTATGTCTCGTCATATATCTCACGCGCGTGTTTTTTTAAACTAAAAAAACCTGTGTTCTCCAACCCAACCTGGCCCAACCAATTGTAAAGGGGGAAAAATGCAACAAGTTGCCATAGTACAAATGTGAAAGAAAAAAAAAGGGAAAAGCACAAATAAATAAACACATGTGCGGAAAGAATAAAATGGAAGTTTAAAAAAAAACCCCGCTCTGTACGTACTACTAACAAAGGAAAGAAAAGACGCCGGATCAGTGGTGCGCATAGTAAAAGTAATTGGTTGCTTTCGCGTCCTGGGGTATATGGTTAATTCTCATCGCACGCGGCGTGCTTGTTCTCCATCTCTCTCTTTCTTCTCTGTTTTTTTGATGTTTTTCGCTTTGCTTCCAGTAAAAAAAAACGCTTGCGATCCTGTCGCCTAGTATGACACACATCATCTTTCTTCTTGGCCTGCTTTTCTCCGTCCCTCCCCGCCCGTCTCTTTTACACAATTGATGATTTTGCTCGAGTAAATGTTTTTTTTTTTCGGTTGGGTGGGAAGAGGCAGGGAGCTGCGCCCGCGCGAACGATATCAAGGGATGGGAGGGGCTCGGGTGTTTGCGAAATGGCTAGTAAAATGAAGGACGGCGGAAATTTCAAGGGGGGTGGTTGGTCATGATGATGACCTGGCGCTATGCAACGTCAGTTTGAATGGTCCCGGAGATGGCCGCGTGTAGCGCCGAGATGATCGGAGGCGTATGGCGAGGTGGGCTTCGTATAGAGCGGGTAGGAGTTGGGTGGCCGTTTTTTTTCTCACAGCTTGCTGGCTGTGGCTTGGAGTAATACGAACCTGTGCCGTACATACCTGTTTTTTTTTTTCATTTTTGTTCGGGCGGTTGGGTAGAAGGCATGCCGAGCTGGTCGAAGCGGCAGTGGCGGCGGCAGCCTTTGCTTTGGGCGGTACAGTGCATACTCAGTGCTCCGAGTGAATGGCGCCTGTGCCTTCGCAGATGGTGCATTGTTTTTGGCCGGTTCGTTTGCAGCATGGACCGCCTTTGCCGTTGCAGGCGTCGCACTTGACAGTGCCATTGCCTCTGCATTCGGGGCAGTCTTTCATATTTGCGTAGTATTTGGCTGGACCGTGGGGGCGGGACTGGAAGATGGTGGGGAGTGGAGCGGAAGAATGCGAGATGTTCGAGTCCCGGATGAGCAGAGTGGATCGACGAAGAGAGGGAGAGGGAGAGAGAGAGAGAAAGGGGAAGGGAAGAGGGTCAGCGCGATGCAGACGGTGGTGTTGATCTTGATTTTAGGGAAGCAGTGGGCATCAAACGAGCAGAACGATCAAAGGTGCTTTCTGTTTCGAATCAGTACCACCAAACGCTGGGCGCACAACCCCCCGTCCAGCGTCGTCGACGGCTTTTATACATGAAATTGGGCTGGATCTTTTCTTGCCTGCGGTGGCCCCGCGCAGACCCGTTGCCCTCTCAGCAAGGCACCGCAATCTCACGGTGGTGGCCGCGCATGGGATAGTGAAGCAAGCTCCCACGCTCAGCCCCCCGCGTGTTTCGTGCGTGCGCGCCAGCCAGCACGCACCGGGCACTGTCCGGGCTTTTTGTCACGATAGCCAACCGCGTAAATACATGCAAAAGCAAGATAAAAAAGTGTAGCATCACGAGATCATGGTTGCTGCATCTCTACGCGCCCGCCGTCCAATTGTAGCATTTTCTTCCTGCAATCCCGCTCGACGTACGTATTCGGAAATTGTGATGTCAATGTGCGTCCGAGGTAAGTAAGAAGAAAACCAAAAAAACACTGCCGAATTACCTACTACTATCTGCCTACTTACGTGTCTGTCTGTCTGTCTACCCGGCCAGCCCCTGTACAACGTTCCTCTTTCGCCTTCGCGCTCAATTTGCTGCTCAACTTTCACATGCTCCTCGTCTCGTGCTTCGCGCACGCCCAAGGTGCGGCAGACAGGGGATACCATGGGGTTTTCTTCTTGGCTGCCTCTCGAACAAAACGCTCTCGTTGCTATTCCAACTTTATGGACTGACGTTGCTCTGCGATGAGCCGCCACACCCGGACTACACTTCCTTGTCCAGTGGTGCTCGTCCTATGCGCCCACCCTCTGTGCATTTCAAACCTAACTTACACGCTTCCAACGGTCTTGTGCTTTCTAGCGCGTTCCATGTCACTGTCGCGACCTGCTGCAGAACGACAAGTGAAGTATGTATCAGGCCATGGGGCTGTCTGCCTCAGGCCCGACGCCCGTCTGAAACTACTGTACGCTGCATAGAGACCAAAAATGGTTTGATGGCTCTCTCAAGGCAGACGAATCGCAGGCCCGAGTTTGAGGCTATTGCATGCGCTCTGAGGGGAGTGCTTGCTCCTGCCTGCTGACTGGTCTGTATCCGACCAAGGGACTACGTACGCCGAAGTAGTTACGGTAAGGCGAGGCTGGGCAAAACCATGTCACAGGCACGTGGCAGACGGATTGGGGGTGAGACGAGGCACGATGATGTGAGTAGGGCTGGGAGATTGGCTGGCTGCTGGTACGCCTTGTTTGATTGCATGGGGTTGCTGGGTGGGGCCCAGGACAATCCGATTACGGGTACCAAGTGTGTACACCTAATTCGCTTACCTACCCACTTTTTTGTCATGGTCCTTTGACCGCTGGGCGCTACGACGGTGACTTCGGAGAGCTGCAGAGTATGAGAATTAAATCTGACTGGATCAAAGACCAGAAAATACGATGCGAGGCGGCTACGAGGTGGGCCCTTTCTGTCGGCTGTTTTAGGTTTGCCGACTGTTTCCGTCAATCAGTCTTACCCTCCTTCACGCTGCCTCTTATCCCTCTCTCTGATCCAGGTGTCAAATTGTGCTTTTCAAGAGGCCCGCGGATCTGACACTTGCAATATTCCATTATTTAATCTGCGTCCACATACGTAATTCGTTGAGTTCAGTAGATAGATAAGGAGCGTGAGTACGTACTACAAGGATATTGTGGCTTTCGACAACCGTGCACACTTATCCCATTGACATTTGACATAGCATTGACAAGACATTATAGCACCAATGGTAGCAACGCTAGCTCGCCTTGTATTCGAATAATGTAGCACCAAAAAGTGTTTGAGTTAGAGCAGGGACCAAAAAAATACATACTACATGCAGCATCCTGAAATCGAGAATGAATGCATGGGTGGCAACGATGACGTCGTGGCATCAGATAAGGAGCGTGGGCATGATGGAGGCGGGAAGCTTTGGAAGAAAACATTGAGGCTGAACTCTTTTTGCTGAATATCATAGGAGAATGCGTGAAACATGATGCACGTTAGAACAGGCCCAAATCATTGGCAGTCTATAGGTACAAGGAGTGGTCGCAAGATGTAGGATGCATTGCTGGGTATCAGAAGCGGTGCCAGAGTGAGATATTTTGGGTTCTGCATGAATTTCTCCATGTAAATGGCACTTGTAGTTTCATTTGCAAGTGCAGGTCTCAGCATTAAAACTTCGTACTAGCGATGATTGGTTATCATCGCTTGGTACTGAGCGAGCAGTATTCTTGCCATACTCCACATGAGAACGAGGCATCTAGATCGCTTTCGTGACGCGACATCTGTTTTTTATGGATGGGGATGTTTTTCTGTCATCATGATCAACTTCTGCTGATGCAGTCGATTTGGACGAACAAGAGAGAAAAGAAGGGTATTTGAGGAGAATCAAGAGTCCAGAAGATATAACATTGACCCTGATGGATTCTGTGATCCATTTCCAGTTTAAACCTTGAAATTGTCTCACGTTATTATTCAGTCTTTTCGCCAACAATGGAGCTCACAGCACTGAGCCATGGCCATTACTTGGCAATGGCAAGGTCTAGACCAGAAGCTAAGTTTAGGTGAGCCAAGAAGAAAGTCTCTTTGCGATTTCCCGAGTGATTACCAATACAAGGTCTCTTTGAATGCGAAGCAAAAGAGGATATATATAGAGGTGCCAGCATTTAACATAAAAGAAGCCAATGTAGAGGCTTAGTGAGAGATTTCTCGTCGTCCATGCCGAGTGCTCCGTCACGATGAGAAAGTTTCCCATGTGTAGTGGTAAAAGCCTCAGTAATCCATACACGCGATGGATAAATAGCTCAAACATGGGAGCCGGTCCTAATAGGGAAAAGAAATCCCTGTGAGTGGATTGAGGGACAAGAACCACCTCTCCATCAATGGACGCTATCACCGCCATATTTTCAGGTGGAAGATGGTATGCCTGAAGAAGGAGAACGACGAGGAAAAGGGGGTGCAGGTAGTGAACCAAATCATGATAGCTATGTGTCTACTCTGCTCAATCCGGAACCGATAGGGGTGTTGCTGATGTTGTCTGCTATCCATGATAGAGCTGAATACCATTACTACGAGCAGGACTCGCTTGATGTCGACTCGGTGATTGATAAGCAAAAGTATGTGTTGTACTTCTAGAGGGACCAAAAGTCTTGGAAGGGTGTACTGAACGGTGTACAATGACATGTTTATGTATTAGTTGCCCTTAACCTTTTAGTCCGACTCCAAGAGCAAAACTCTAATCTCGACAACAGTACCGTTGTACCTGTCGATCTCCTTCCGCCGCACTTGGAAATGACAGAAAACATTCCAATCGTCCAGTCAGATTAGAGGGTCAGGAGGGAGCGGGATTATATATCTGAGACATGAGCCAATAGTCCCAACAGCACTGCCGCTAATACTTATGGAAGCAAAGTTTCGGGCTGAAATGGATAGCGGGGGTGCCGGTACGCGAATGCAAGGCCTAGAAACCCAGAAAGACGTACTAGAATCATTTGGAAGACACCTGGTACTGAGTGGTTCTTGCGCGTCATTTGTGCGGATCTGTAACCCGTAGCTAGACACTGGTGCGGAGGGTAGGTGCGTAAGCAAGGGGCAAAAGGCTTAGTTGAAGGAGACACGGGAAAAGCAAATTGCGATGGCGGGCGTCTGGGCCATTGCAGTTGCCCATGGGTCTTCCTGTGCTCGTATACCATCGACTTGGTGGTCTGGCCATCCACTTACTGGTACAGCACCCTTGGTGGGCGTGTCTTGCGATAATTAGAGTTTTGTTTGCTGAAGGTGTAAGGATTCGCGATCCTCTTCGCATCTCAGCTCAAGGTGGCTTGGTCGAGGCATGGCTACATGGTGGTGCCTCTTTGCAAATGCTCAGTACGACTTTGAGCAACCAGGGAAATGAAAACGACACTGTCCTTTTCCGAGATCTATCAGACGAATGCCTTGGCCTCGTTTAGAGGAAAAGCTTAGTCCACGGTTATTGTTGCATGTGCCGTGCTCTATGGCTAAATGTAGTGTGATACGCAGAAGGCCTTGCGGTAGCTTCGCATGCCATGCTAGCTGCCTTGACGGGACAAAACCTTCTCGGACCTAGCAAGACGCTCCTGGCGCACTAGTAGGTCCGCAGTTGTAGTCTCCTTGGTGCATGCCATTCTGATCGGTCAAGACTCATCGAACGTTGCTGAACCTTCTAGATCGCCCGTGAGGCTGTTCTCATCATCTCCAAAGAGTGCTTTAAGCGAACTGCGTATTCTGTGAGCTGATGTTGGACTGTATATAGCTTAGTAGATGTACGGGGAAAAAGCAAATCCCATCTACACAGACCATTTTGCCATGGGCTGACGAGTTTACAGGCCCCACGGCTGGGTTCAACGAGTCCTCGAGCAGTCGGGTTGGCAATGCCGTGCTGGCTGTGGGGATATATGGCTTGGGTGTAGTGCAAACTCTGTCCTAGCCGAAGCTGGTGGTAAGCAACGTCTAGCATCGGCTTCCCCTAATGCAGAAGCGACAAGCAAGCAACCAGCTTGTCAGACGTGTGTGGTACTCTGTGACCTAGCGACTCGTAGACGCATGTATGGATGTGTGGAGAACAAGTGTTGAGCTTTCGGCCGTAAGTACGTAGTTGGAGCATTGGAGGGACGGGCTGGTGTGTCTTGCAGGAGGGCCAAATCTCCTTCCCCATTCCGGTGAGATCGGCAGCGTTTGTCCGAGCTGCTGGGACTGGGAAGTTGCGCAATGCACGTGGACGCGTCGCTTGGCCCCAGGCCACGCGTTCCATACTACTTACATATCCTTAGCCAGCTCTCTTGCAGCCGCATGAACATGGGCGCATACCGACATGCAGAGATTCACGCTGGTAGCTGCAGAAGAGCCCCGGTTCCTTCAGCCAGGGCTGGATGACGCGACGAATACGAGATGCCCGACTAGACGAGAGCCCACTAAAGATGCAAACAGCTGACCGCTGCTGTCAAATCGACTCTTCTGCGCCAGGCCAACATGGGAATCTTCGACGTCGCCAATTCAATTCTTCACTTACTCGCGCGGAAAAGGCCCTACTTATCCCGCGACCCGACGGACAAAGCGCTTTGCATCACGGGCGGAAGCATGGGCGATTGGGCCTAAGCCGCAGATCCGGCTGCTAGGCGATAGGGAGCTGGCCGCGGGGAACTGTTGGACAAAACTCTATTGATCCAAGCCGGAAAAGCTCTGATTGATTGTGCCTCACGTCACTGTGAATGGACCGAGGCAGCCGATAATCTGCATCCATACACATACCATACTGGTCGGATCTGCATCGGCTGCCAAGATACCACCCCAAGCCAAGTGCCCTGCATTGCATCCAAGCTCATCACGCTGGCCACATTGGCAACCGATGCACGGCTATACTACGTATGCCACTTTGTTCACTGCCACTGCTACTGCCCTGGACAAATTGCTCGTTTCAGCAACGGCATAGCGCACGCTTGCCAGTGCTCTCCGTGTGGCATGCGCTAGTATGACTGGTCTTCTAGGAATCGCAGCATGCACTAATTCTAGCTCAGCCACCAGGCATCCCTCCATCAGATCGCCTCCTCGCAATTGTCAGGGCTAGAGTTTCGCGTACCACTGGCGGCACCTCGGGTTGTGGGCATGTTAGCCTCCGAAGCCTGTGCACCAGGTACCTCCATCCCATTCCTCATGTCTGTAACGCCACACAGTTCAACGGAAACTACTCCTGGTCCCATGCAAAGAGTCGCCCCTCAGGGTCTCGTCTTTTCGACCTTTTGTATTAATAACTTGGCCATATCCGTGTCGCTGGATCCATTCTTCGTAAACCACTATGGACCAACTAACCGCTGACCAGTTGGCTGCCCTGGCCCGGGATGACAAAGGCCCTCTCACAAAGTCCATTGTCATTGCTTTCACGGTACTTTCCTATGTCGCCGTAAGCCTACGGCTGTTCACTCGTATGCGATACATCGGACTGCAGCTCGGTTGGGAGGTAATTGTCTACCTAAACATTCCCCAATACGGATATGTTTTGACACTGTTTTTTTTTAGGATTATGCAATAGTGGTGTCCTTGGTGAGCCTCATCGACACTTGCACATTTGAATATCCGACTCACACTACTTAGGCGACAGGCACTGTTGCGAGCGTTTTCCAGGTTCTTCGTAAGCAAGCATGCAAAATGTACAGAAAACAGCCCCACTAACTCATCGTAGAGGCCGACGCAGGCAATGGCAAGCATGCAATCTTCATCGAGTTTCCTGAAGGGTTCCGGCCAATCCTCAAGGTACGACCAGAGCATAGTTTTCACTCACATCTGTTTGCTAACGATCAACAGTACCTGTTTTGGAGCATCATCTTTTATAACATCAGCCTTACCTTTACAAAGATATCTATCCTGCTTCAATACGGCCGAATCTTTACCGTACGCAAGATGCGCATACCACTGCACATTATCATGGCAATGTGTATCGCATGGGGAGTTGCTATGATCATCATAGCGGTATATACATGTGAACCCCTTCCTGCCAAAGATGGTGGACCGAAACAATCTTCGTGCGTGGAAGGCTCAATGTAAGCTACAAAATGTCCCATTTTCTGTGTCGGTTGCTGACAATGGCCACACAGTATCTGGTTCGTCAATGCGGCCGTAAACATCCTCACAGATCTTCTTGTGGCCTTCCTTCCTGTAAAGGTCATCTGGAACCTGCAAATTGCCAAACGCCCAAAGATAGCCCTCGTCATGATTTTGACAATTGGATGTTGTGTGTGTGGTATCCATACTTCGCCTCCACGCCCTCACTATTCTTGTCGCAAACCTACAAGACACCACCTACTACAGTGCACCGGTGGCGTACTGGTCCTCGATCGAAATGAATCTGGCTATTGTTTGTGCATCGCTACCAGCACTCAAGCCACTCATGGTCAAGATCCTACCTGGCTTCTCAACTCGCGGCGGCAGCAACAACAGCTACGGGCCGGGAACGGATGGACTAGACAAATCCAAAAGCATGATCCACGGCGTCAGAAGCACCGCTAGGCGCGCAGGCGTTGATGATATTGAGTTGGGTTCGTCTTCCCACGCGGTTCGCCCAGACAAGTCCAGCGATGACAACATCTTGGGCAAAAACATTTACGTTTCTCGACACTTTGAGCAGCACTATGACGACAGCTCGAGGATTAGCGATAGCGAGAGCCAGAAAGACCTCGTACGACACTGAAACCCCTGTGCAATAGTAGACCTATAGCTAGGGCATAATAAATTAATTCGAATTCTCTTTGCTCCACATCGCTATCGCTCTACTTGTTTTCCACAACTTTCCGATGCCCGGCTCATTCTCTCCGTTGCCGTACGTCAGGAAATGCTTCCCTGTAATGGCCCTTGCACGATTCGGCAATCTGAACCTCCAATCTACCTGTAAGTATGTAATAGTAGGCAACATGTGTTGTCTGTGCGTGCCTGGTTGCTTACTTTCTAGTATATCGTGTAGGGCACCAAGTAGTTCTAGGCCCATCTTGGTCTAGCCCCGGCCCGCCTCATTGGCGCGGAACGCTTGCGCCATCAGTGAAAAAAAGGCCCGATGTCTGTCGGTCCCCGGCGGGCCACCCTCGCCAAGGCATCTACCACTGTCATGGGCAAAGCACCTGCGAGTTGTGTCCCTACGCTCTCGAACTTGGCAGCTTCTTTGAAAACTTTAAACTCATCCTGTTGAATCCCGTTGTAGCTAATCACCAGCCTGCGCCCGACACCAATATTAGCCTGCGTCCCGACTTGTGGCCATTTCTTGCATACTAGTACTGACAGGTGGTGAGATTGCATCTCCCTCAAATCCGTTGCAATAGCCACAAACATTGGCATCATGCCACACGCCCACCAAAGGCCCGATGATGGTGACTGAGCGGCGCGGTGCCGCGGCATCCTGTCCCCCCTTTTCCCCGTGCGAAATCCCTCAGTTCTGGACCATGCCCAAGCTCGCCTTATCTATCGCTATCGGACCGATGGGCCCGTCTTCCTGATCCAGGTGACAGGGCCAGTCTTGTTAGAGAAACCGCCTATCCCCGAGTATTTCTGAGGTATTGTGAGTGGATCTCATACCTATTCCCGATCTCTACTATGATCGACCACTAAGACCTCGTTGTCCCGAGGTGCGATGCTACGGCTGCTATTCCCACGACTGACATGAAGCTTGTGGAGCGGATGTGAACCTTATTTGTTAGATATCAACCAACGTCTAGATACTTATTCTTTCTTTTGAGTTGGAAGCGATACAGCCACATAGTTGGGCTGAGGCCATGCATACCTAGTGTATGGTCAAGATCTTTGCGACGCCTTCAGCATCGACAACGCCTGCAGATCGATCTCCCTAAATAAAACTTTGGTCTAGAGAGCGTTTGCTCTTTACTTCAAGGAGATACATGATACACGAAGGATCGAGACTACTTATCTTGTTTTCTCCAAGGGGATAATCGATGATGCTTTGACGACCAAACTTGTCGGCCTCTTGTCAACATCCAAACTGTTGTGGGCCACAACTTGTGACCGTAAAAAAACGAATTGTGCAGGATCTTGTTGTTGCATATCGCCACCAAGTTTAGTGCGCGGAACAGTTGCATGTTTTCCATTTCTCTATATGGGCAAGGGTCCTTGCATATGTTGCTTGGAAACAAGGTACCGGACCCGATTTCTACAGGGAATCGCCTTCCCCAAGAACTGCTACCCGGCTTTCTGCCGAACCCTTCAACCATGACGCGTCCAACGCAGCTATAGTGATTCGTATCGTCTCGATTTAGAATGCAGGTTTTATATGCCCAAAGGATTTGATTTGGGCACGTTTGAGGTAACACGAAAGACCAAGTGAGTTTTAGCTGCTGCCTTTTGAAAAAATAGCTTGAGCATAGTATGTTTGGTATAAGCATCACTAATCAATCCCCAATGCTTTTCCCTGCGTGCCTCGGTATCGCATTTGCCATGCTCCCTGAAATCGATGCTGGCCTATACAACAGTGATGCAGCTATCGAAACTCTGCATACGCAAAATGCGCTGGACTCAGAACAGGTTGCATTTCGCCAAAAGAGTACAATCCCATCATCATGCCTGTAAAAGGCTGTCCAACCTCTGGGGCGCGCGTCATGACCTGGGTATCAATGTTGCCCAGCCAGGTCCAGCTCTCATTCGCTTCGTGTGCGTCATGACTGACATGCCGATATCCCAATCGATAGCTAGTCTCAGTACTTTCGATGATCAATTTCACTGCACCTTGTTCTGATATGATTACCTCCTTAACTTCCTTGTCTGGATCAGTCAGTCGGATGGCTCGTTGCAGCTGTGCATCGCGCTCGACAAGTGTAATTCCTATGCTGGCGTAGCAAAGGTGGTTCCACCAGACGACAGTCCCTGCTTCGACGCGTAGTGCCTCAGGCTGAAAATCCAGTTGAGTTTCCCAAACAACAGGCCAATGCTTTTGCTTCCGTAGGAAAAGGGTCGGACAAGCAGGCATTGACAGGGTGTACGGACCACCATATAGCGTGAGCTCATTGGAGCGGGCTGTCATTGAGAAGTCCTGTCTCAACGGGGTATCTGTGCGTTTTCAGTGACCGTACTCTGCTTAAAAATAGTGATGAGTAATAAGTCTCCTTACTTTTTCTATACCACCCCAACCCTAACTTTATTCCCGTAAAGTCATCTCTCCATCTCCTGTCATCCTCCACCATGTAGCCATTTGGCGCCTCCATCCGCAATGCAACCGCCTTGCCTTCGTTGAATATCGGCCAGTCATTCTCCCAGCGAACCGGAAGCAGCATTGATTCGCGCCCGAAGACCGAGGTCCGCCATGAGCTACCTTCTCTCCTGGGCCGCACACCTAGACACATAGCCCACCACTGACCCTGGGAGTCCTCAACGACGTCGCAGTGCCCAGTGTTTTGGATATCATCATTGGTTGTATTACGCCATAGAGGGTTGTGCGGCGCTGCTTCCCACGGGCCGAATGGACCTTCTCGGCTTCGGGTCACGTACTCGCAGTGCCCAGACTCGGTACCTCCTTCAGCGGTGAACAAGTAGTAATAGTCGTTGCGCTTGAAGAGATGGGAGCCTTCGGCGAAACCAGATACGGAATCGCGAATCATCTGTGGTCTGGATGTCAAAGTTCCAGACTTGAGATCGACCGTAGATATGTGAACAGCAAAATCCCGTATCTTGGGATCTGGAGAGCGATCAAGCTTGCGATAACAGGATGACAAGTATACCACTCCATCATCATCCCAGAAGAGGTCAAAGTCGAACCCGACTTGATCAAAGTATACGGGATCTGACCAGCTACTATCGTTCCAAATGTTGCTCGTTTTCACGTAAAAGCCCCGAGGCCATACGCGATCATCGATTTGCGGGCGGTACCGGTCGAAACAGTTGGTAATTATGTAAAACTCGCCGTTATGGTACCGAATAGTTGTTGCCCACACGCCACCTCCAGGTTCGGGGGTCTTGATATCAAGCTGCGACTTCCGGGTGAGAGCATGTCCGATTAAGTCCCACTTGATGAGGTCTTTGCTGTGGTAAATTGGCACCCCAGGGAAATACTCAAACGACGATGTAACACAAAAGAAGTCATTGCCGGCCCGAATGACTGATGGATCCGGATTGAAGCCCGGGAGGACAGGGTTGGCAAACGTGCCTGTTTTTGAAGACGCCATATTTTCTTTGTTGTACAGGTGGGCAGTTAGACGCAGTGCATTCCGGCCCAGGGAACAGTTGCAGGTCGCAAGTTAGCTTTTGGCACGACCTTCAATTTCTCGATACGTGGTACAAGTCGTCGTGTATCAGGGCGAACGTTGGCCGCCGAGCGCTAAGTACCGTGTGTACATACTAGTAAGCACAATCACGCCGTTGTGAGCGCTGTTCTATTTTGAGTAAGCCGGCACCGATGCGGCACAGCTATTTTCCTCAAATCATCAGATCCACGGCTGCAGCGGGTGACGGCTCGGGACCTCGGAGGCGTTGTGGGTCGAAAAAGAAGCCGTTGAGGACGGATGGGGTGAGTGAGGGGTAGCTTGGCACTGTGCGAGTCTTGGATTTCTCATGGCAAAGAATCAACCTCGTACACATAACACCATCAAAAGTCGGAAATCAGAATTTGGCAATGCATCCATTGGCGGTTGAAGAGAGTCATCACACGTCCCACTAGTACCCCTTTTGCATCAAAGACTTGAACACGCAAAGCCCGTGACACTTATTGCATGGTATACTGTCATGAATGTTGCAAAAACGATACCATCTCGAGGCGTAGTCATGTCCCGTCAGATCCTAAACGCATATTGGATTGGAGTCAAGGCTAGTGACATACGCCATCCAGCAGCGTATTTGCTTTTGTGCTCCACGGTGAGTAAGTAGATACAGGGTAGGTAACGAACTTGCAGTGGGATCCTTGTAAAACGAATTCCTCATTGAGCCCACCCTGAATCATTTTCAGCGCACTTAAGCTCTTATTACCAGACTCGTTGATTTCCCTTACAGAAGCCGGGAGTACACATAGACATCAAACTCTGGGTAATGCATGTCATTCTCGGCAGGGCAAGCCATGTCGAAACTGCCGAGAGCGGTAGATGCGCCACCAACGACATTGCTATCACAAATGCCGAGGATGTCCCATGGGCAGTCATTTTGGTTCGTACGAAGCTGCCGGTCTACTCCTTGCTCTGTCCCCCGGCCTTGTTTTCTACAACAATTATCTCCGGACCAATTACGCTTTTATCATGTTTCGGCAGATGCGAAATCAATGTTCGAACCAACAGAAATTTGGCTACGCACTACCAAATGCCATCTGGATAAAACCCATGCATACAGTAAATAATCGGAATAACGACACTCTAAAAACCACTTTACTTTGCCCATGTTCGTCATTTAATAGGTGACCGGCATACCACCTGGGAGCTCTTTGAGCCAATTTCCGCCCACACCAACATCCTCAACCACTTGTTGCGATTTCTTGCACTTCATCGAATCTTGCGCAGACTGTATTTTCAAAACTTGGCAGTTGGCGTTAGCGCACTTGCCACTCGGCAGAGCATCCATAGCCCTCTGTAAAGAGTCGTCTTTCCAACCAAAGAGATAGTCGCCGTGCTGGCCATAACCGGTACTGCAAATGGTTAGTGAATGTTGAAGATGATGTTAGATACGACTTACCCGTCTCCAAAGCTATATACGAAAGGCTGTTTACCATTGCCATACCATGCATTGTTTTTGTATCGTCCAGTGTCCCACATGATCTCGTACATGACTTGTGGAATAGCAACCGGGTGCGTACTGGGGCAATTTGGGGATCCGAGACCACCGCTATTCGAGTACGCAACATGGCTCTTATGATCTGGCGAGTCGAGGTTCTTACCGTCCCAGCACGACGGAAAGATGACTGTCGCCCGAATACCACCCGGACAATACTTGTTTGGGAGCTCTGCAGTGTCTTTCGCATCGCACGGAGCAAAACCCTCCCCATTGCCCAAACATCGATGACAAATGCTAACACGGTTGGGCCTTTTGGCCATAGGGTCGCCAGCGATCATGCGAAACCCAGGCCTGAAAGCTGTCATCTTGTTATTCTTCGCCGAATAGGGCATGTAATAGACCGTCATTCCGCCATCCTGTTGGAGCCCGACATTGGCGAATTGAGGTACTCGCTGAAAAGTACCATTCTCAGGTGACCGAAAGTATAGCGACGCGGTCCAATAGTTGCTGAAATCCTCACTGTAGGTGCAGGATGTGCATGTGGAGCGAGTAGGTGGATCAAACACGCCGGGTTCCATCTGAAGATGTCAGCCAGTGCCTTGAAATGAACAAAAGGACCATACGGTAAGATTGAAAGAGTTCCCTCCAATGATCTGATGGGTATGTGGTGAAGGCCGCTGCCCGGGAGTCACAAGTGGATCCGCTCGTTCGACAGTCAGCTGCGAACATGCGAATCGTAGCATGTTCTGTGATAGGACACATTGTGCCAGGAGCGGAACGGTAGCAATTCTAGGCCAAAACATGGTCGAAAGCTTTCAGAAGGAAGTTTCTGGGACAGAATGAGGAAACATTTTACGGGCATATAGACCTTTTAAGCACACGCCAGACTTCTAGATTCCGTCAGCCATGATGTAGAACGTCACCTTGTATAAAGCGAAGATGAAGAGTTATTTGATAATTAATAAGTGTACCAATAATGGCATCTCCAATTATGAACTGTTTCATTCTTCAACCACTGTTTGTGAGAGACTGGGCCTGATCCTTTCCTGTGTCGTCTGGATGAATGCTCAATCTATGCAGCGAATCGGCAGTTGCTTCAAAGTTATCAGAGGTAAATTCCATTAAGCTTTCGCTTCGCATATTGACCATACAGCCATGCGACCTTTGGTGCCTCGAGCATGGCATGCTGCGGATAGGCTCGGCATCAACTGCCGATAAAGAACAACAAGGCGGATTTTGTAAACACCATCGAGCATTTGGGGAACATTCCTGGAAGTGGGGCTTTCCAAAAACAAGTGATCAGTTGACAAGAGTATCATTGTCCAAAGCGATAACCAGGGTGCATAGTGATACCGACGATTAGAGAGGTATCATGCTTGTTGTCGAGCACCGCATTTTCACATGCAACGAAGAGTTCGGGCTGCAAGAGAAGCGACCTGAGAAGGTAGAATATAAATGGAGACAGCGATTTCGGACACGAGCTATCCTAGTGGAATGGTGGAGATCCATAGACTTGAGATACGGCCGCACTGCTCGAAGACAATCGCAGCGCATTTCGCGACGAGCACCGTTTTTCTTTTTCAAATGGCATTCTTGGAAGTGAGGAATCTTGCTCTACAATCACAGCTTGACGATTGTCTCAGGCGCCCTGCTGCTAGTTCTCAACAGTCACTAAACTTTTAAATTTTGTACTTTGGTTTCACTGTTGAATGCTACTCGTTACTCAATTCTTGGAGCGCAAGAGCTATATTTCGTTATTCCTAGCACCGGGGTTGTTATCAATCAGCTACTGTTTCAACCTCCAGCTAGATCTAGTTAGAATCTTCCGTTGCCCCCTTCACTTTCAACAATCTGAATCTTATGTTTGTATGGGTATCACCATGCATTTCAATACGCTAAGACATCTGCGACTGCCAAGGCATGTCAAACGTTGTATTATACACACCAGATGAACTCTTCAGCTAGCTTGGATAAGTATGATCAGGAGTGAATTGCTCGGCGCAGATAGTAGCTGATGGGATGGTGAAGATACAGGCGTGAGGAAATGTGCGAGTACCAGCATTCCAAGATTGGGAATAGTTCGGAAACCTTAGTACTGAATTAACGTCATTATATTTTGGTTCCTGATCAACATCCATGTTCTTTCTCATTAGTATAGCTCGTGGACGCACTGTGAGTCTAGTTAGTCAATTTAAACATGCTGTTTCTTGTTCCCTGGCTTATCTCTAGAAAAACAAGATATTAGTCTGAAACGATCCAAAGATCGGCAAGCAATGGGATCGCAGTTGATCAAGTTCTTAGATTGTCGATCAAACCCGTTGGTATCCGTTGTTCATCAAGGCATTCTGGGTTGTTTCCGAAAAGATGTGGCCTACGGAAGTCCGGTACGAATGGCCGCACTATCACTTCCATCAAATGCGCACCAAGAAGGAGCGACAGAATATAACAAAGCGATACCACTATGAATTACGATTTATAACTCTGATTCATCTGCTAGACTATCCGATATATGTGTTGGTTGAGGATAAGGCACTAGCCCAAGTAGAGCCCTCAAACGTGTGCGACTTTACTGACACAGGCAACATGCAGACGCCAAAAGACATTAGCATATGGTGGAACCATGCATTTCGAAAACCATAACTAAGAGCTTTGATTGCTGATAGGTTTCTTTGACATCGTGGTTCAGACAAACCCTTGGGTTTGCAGGGGTAGGCTTATGGAGATCGTCTCTCACCGACACTCAATCATGCAGGTGCTGTCCGCATCTTGCTTCTTTCAGGTACCACCATTGAACAAGAAGCTGATGCAACTTTCTCTTATTTAGTAAGTTCAACACTTGCGGCGCTGGTTCTGGTTGCGCCTGGTCTTCAGCTCACTCCTCGTAATGGCCATTGGCGTAGAGTACACATGCATGAGACGATTCCAACTCTCGCTAAAACAAGAAAACTGCAGAATCAAGAATTGAAAAAGTGCGAGGAGTTTGGGGACGCAATTCTCGCGATCTTGTCTATTCAGGGCTGACGATGGTGCATCGCTGTCAGCACGCCTCCCCGCAGTTCCGACGCGCGATCCCGGACGGCGCCCGTCGCTAGCACAGACGTGGGTCTCCACTTCCAAAGCCGAGAGTAGTCAAGCCTCAGGTCTATCGCAGCTCCATCTTTGCGAAGTGGTGCATGATAGCTCCCTTGCTATCTAAGGCTCGACCCCATAAACCAACCTTCGCATATTTCGGAACTCCGGGTCTGGAAAGAAAATCCAGACAGTGTTGATGCGCTTGTAAGGCGACGGTCCAAAGCTGTCGCCATCATGTTCCTTGGATCAATGGGAGGAAGAGCTGCTGACATGGTCCACACGCTTGTTGATGCTTTTCCATAGAGGTCAGCGTCGTACACACGGTCATGCATGTCCCACCTCCAGGAATTTAGAAATTGCGTGGTATACTATCGTGTGGTTTTTGCTCTCAAAGGATCCCAAGCATGGGAACCGTGTTATCCAGGCTTCCACAAACTATTGCCAAGACTGAAAATGCATCGTGAAAGGAAATATTGCAAGGGTCAGCGACGCACTACGGAGGTGCGAGCCAGACGCATCGTCGCAGTCTTTGCCTAGTGCAACTTGAACTGATAGTGTCAGAACAGCAACCAACCAGTCCACAGAGCTGGGACGATGATCAAAGTTTCTCACTGCAGATCGTGTTCCAATCATCGTCCTCGCATCGACGCATTCTCCGACGCGGACTTGAAGTGCACCATTGGCATGAATGCCACATTGTACCCGGAGACTACATAAGTGTTCTCTCCACTCCATCAACCTGAGATCAACCTCAACTTCCATCGTCTATCAATACCAACTGTAAAAAGATGGCCGCTAACCCCGACAATGTCGAACTCATCCCTGGCACTGAGGTCATGAACAATGACGGTTCGGTGAAGAAACAACTCATTCCGAAGCCGTCTTCTGATCCAAGAGATCCCCTCAACTGGAGCCGTAAATGGAAGAGTATGTTTTGCAAAAGATGAACTGTTATCGCCATACTGACAGGTCATAGTGATGGTGATGGCCTCACAATGGCTCTTTACGTGGATATCTGTGACTGGTGCGCTGTCCATAGCCCCAATGTTCCCATTGCTGGGTGCACAATTCCACTTGAATAATAATCAGCTGGCCATGTTGACCGGTATTACTGTCATTACGCTCGGCTTCGCAAACTTCATCATCGTGCCACTTTCCAACATTTTCGGACGTCGCGCCATTAGTCTGGTGTTTTCTGTTCTGATTCTTTTGACATGCGTGTGGCAGGCGCTTGCGACGAGCCATAGCAGCCTGCTGGCAGCCAGGGCGGTGAATGGTCTAGTGTGTGCGACCAGTGAGAGCATTCCGGTCCAGATGATCGCTGATGTCTTTTATCTGCACGAACGAGGCCTATGGACGGGCGTCTACTTGTAAGTACAAGTGCGGCCATGAGATACATGAGTAACTCCTAATATTGACGCAGCACTGGATATTTCATGGGAGCCTTCCTAGGTCCTATTATGGCAGGTGCTATTGGAGGTCACTACGGTTGGCAATCGTTCTTCTGGCTCGAGACAGCGCTTTCAGGTGTCTCAATCATTCTTATCGCATTCACCTTCCCAGAAACAAAGTACCATCGTGGCGGCCCTGCCGCTACAAGCAATGGTCTGGTACAAGTCAAGGACAATGAGCGCAACAGCGAAGAAGATAACCAGCTCGAAAAACAAGCCACGCTTGCTACAGCCAACGACATGGGCCAAGATTCGTCGGATGTTTCTGTAATGGCGAATGGCCGCCCGTCTCGTGCACAATTCATGCCGTTCCGGAAGCCTGACCCCAGATGGAAGATGTTTGTTGTCCGGGATACATGGACTCCTATCAAGGTCTTCTTCAACCCCATTATCCTGTGGGCTGGGTTGATGCTGGCTGGTCCGGCTGATCTTCTTCTCTTTTTTAACATCACCGAGTCTCCGATCCTTGCGGCGCCACCCTACCTCTTCCGACCCGACCAAGTTGGCTACACGAACTTCGCCTTCGCCATCGGTGCGCTGATCGGTCTTGCGACAGCAGGCCCGTATTCCGATTGGGTGGCTGCTCGGGCGACTCGCAAGAATGGTGGTGTGCGCGAAGCAGAGATGCGTCTTCCTGCGCTTTGGTTTTACATGATCATCACCATGCTCTCCTTGATCCTCGGAGGCCTCGCGTACCAGCACCAATGGGCATGGGGCCACATTGTTGTGTGGGGCTATGGCTTCGCTGGACTCAGCGTCACCACGGTTCCTACTATTTGCATCGCCTATGCAATCGACTGCTACAAACCCATCTCTGGTGAAATCATGGTGGTGGCGACTGTATGCAAGAACTTTATCGCCTTCTCGTATAGCTATTGGGTCTTTGACCTAGCACATGAGAGTAAGGACGGTTGGATGACCCCAGCCATGGTAATCTTCGCTTGCACCGTTGGCCCGGCTCTTTTCGCATTCCCACTATACTATGGTCTAGGTAAGAAGATCAGAAGATGGACCAAGGACAGCGACGTGCATCGCATGGAGGAAGTGATTCAGTAGCCTGGTCGAGACGAGCCATAGCAGGGTGTGATGCACCAAGTCCGAGGGTGGTGGTTGTTTGAGCCATGGGCCAGCTACACTTGTATGACTGGGCTCGGAGCAGTCGTTGTAGATGTAGAGCCCTAGAATATATTTGTTAAACTTGTGTTGTGCTTTTGAACACATGTACATTTAACCCTAACCCAGATTATCGCACTAACCGTTGACGTCATGCTAGATTTTCTGGCGCTGCACATCGCCCACCAAACAATCACATGCACCACCATCGTACAAATCATATCCTACCGTCCGGTACCATTGAGAAACCTTCAATTCCGCGCAATGTCTATCGCTTCCCTTCAAGACAAGGTTGCTATAATCACCGGATGCAGTTCCGGTATTGGCCTCGCGACAACGCGCCTCTTCCTGGAACGTGGAGCTTCTGTCTTTGGCATAGATATTGGTGCACAGCCCCAGAAGCTTGCTGAGGACTTCTCAACTTTTATCTTCTATCATACCGATCTTACTGATTCTCAAGCGGTTGAACATGCCGTGGCAAAATGCATTGGCAAGCACGATCGTATTGATGTCTTAGTCAACTGCGCGGGCGTTAGTGACGGATGGAGTAGCGCCGACACCATTCATGAGGAAGAATGGGAAAGAGTCATGGCCATTAACTTGAACGTACCGATTCGTATGATGAAAGCAGTACTTCCTGCCATGAAAGCACAGAAAAAGGGTGCTATTGTCAATGTGGCTAGCAAGGCAGGCATGTCTGGCGCGAGTGCAGGAATTGCTTATACGGCCAGCAAACATGGCCTAGTACGTAAACAATTCCCAAATGCATGGTTGGTACTGACACAGCGATAGGTTGGTGCTACCAAAAATGTCGCATGGCGGTTTCATAACGAAGGGATTCGCTGCAATGGCGTGCTTCCAGGAAGCGTCGCCACAAACATTGCAAGTTCAGTTCAAATGGAGCATTTTGATTCCGCCGGCTTCAACGCTTTTTTGTAAGCCCCCTCTCGCTTGCTATATATAACAATGGCTTACTCTGTTAGCCCGATTGTGCAGCTTCACGTATCTAAGGATAACGAGGGAACACCTGTTCCCTACATAGGTGTTGATCATGTCGCGCGGGGCATCGCTTTCCTCGCCTCAGACGAATCACAAATGATAAACGGCGCTATGATTCCTATTGATAATGCGTGGTCCACAATATAATATACACGAAGGGTAAGCAGCCCAGACGTGCATATATTAGTTGACTTATCAAAACATCAGTATACTTGTTGCTATCTCTTACGGCTCATCTGGATTTCTATGGTCATGGAACATACTGTGTCTTAGTTAACTCGGATTTGGTGCACCTGTAATACTCGGACTTCCTCCAGCAACGTTACCGTAACACCAGTAGAACTACCCGTACTAGCAGTACTAGTAACAATATCTCTCCTCTCCTCGAGCCCTGGTATACAGAGTTCTTTTGTGTAGAGCGAAATATTACTGGATCAAAAGTATTGCTATATACTGTTTCCATGGTTGCATGGAGTTGGCAAGGGTTTGATTCATGCTGGTTGGATCGGGCCATGAAATCTTGGTTTCCGCTCTATAGAAATTGTTCTTTCAAGAATTACCCAAGAATCACTCGTATGACAAAGCTACGCCTAGCACGCACAAGATCTTTGATGCATTACATCAATTATATGAGAGCCTGATGCTGTTTTTTTTTAATTCGGTATGGAAGTCGCATGCATGAATCAGATTTATAGGTTTCTGCTAACACCAATATGACGTACCATGCCAAGTATCAGCTCATAATACCTACCTTTAGCCTCATCCTCAACCTCAAGCTCCCACATAGGGTTAGCGAGATGACATATTTAGAAGAATTCAGTCCAGCAAAAACTCTATTCAAAAGTTACGCTATTGTCTCTAGAACTCTCTATAAAGAGCCTGTTACTAGATTTAGTCTAGTTGAACAGCTATATCCTCTTAACCCCTAGCTCAATTCAGTCTCACGCTGCAGTGCGAAGAAGTACAACTATAGCCAGTATGGAAAAGAAAGAACCCTGAAATCTAAACTTACGATTGGCAAGCTACTTAATGACGCCGAAGTCACTGTTAGCCCTTGCGACATAGTAGATTTATGGTACGGCAAAATATAATTTACTTTCTTGACCTTTCTATCCTCAGTATCCGCTCTCATGCTATGCCATTCCCCCATTGTAGACTAGCGTAGCCACTGTCTAACTTTAGGGCCTGTTCGGTTGCGCGGTTGCGTTTTGCGGTTGCGGTATACTAGTAAGCCCGATTTGGGCTGCGTTTTTGAACCGCAGCCAAAGACGCTATCGTGTTCGGTCAAACGCGTTTTTTAAGTATCAGCCCTTACAGCGTTTTATTAGTATTACTCTAGTAAAAAAGGCTATGTCTAGTGCTTATCTTACCTATGTCGGATACTCTATTAGGAAAGGTTAAAACGCGATTTTAATTAGTAGCAAGGGGGGCAGCGGTTGGCTGCGTTTTTGCTAGTACTATATATTAAAAACCAACTACTAAAAAGCTATCGCGATAGCTACAGCTAGTATAGCAGCTACCCTAGCGTTAGCAGTTACTACTAGCGATATATACCCTCCCCCACCTTCGGGCGTTCGGGCTCATAATAAAACCGTAGGCGGCGGCGGCGATAACGACAATACTAACAGCTATGTTTTATACAGCGACACAATTATAAGTAAGCAACTGTTAAGCTATTTTCACAAGCCACATACCAAATAAGCATAATGAATGTAGATACAAATAGATCCTACAATTCGTGTTAGTTACTGCCAAGTTTCTTTGGTAATCAGAGGGGTTAACTAATAACTATACATAGTGCTGACTAAGAATAAGCAGAAGAAGAGAAGGGCCGGAGGAAAGTGTATAACGTGGACGCTGACGGTCAGCATTACTCTGTCATTTTAATCACCAAAAGAAATAATTGCAGTGGTAAGAATTATAGCTCACTTCTTATTAACTTCTTGATATAATTAGGTGACTAGACTGGATATCATATGCAAACATAGATTGTATGATAGAGAGTATAAGAATTGCTAAGCTGTTGATAGCTACTACTTGAAATAAACCCCTTTTATTCACGGAAATCCTTGAGCTGTATATAAAACAATAGTTAATTTGCACTCTAGTATTGCTGATTAGAGTTCTCTTGAGCTCGCCTCTAATTTCAAAACACCCCGTCTCTAATCTAGGATTGCATGATAACCGACTGTAGTAAGTTCTATTTTATTGGCGAGGAGGATTGCCGGCAAGGTGCTGACTAGCGGAACTCGGCTGTTAAAATAATCGTTCTGTCTTATCACTGAACTACTCTGATTGTGTCCGACACTAAGGCGGGATGGTGAGGTCAGCTCCGAGCAAATCGCTACAGAGCACTGTCAATGATGCTCAAGTTATTTTTGCCTTCACTCAAACAGTCACCGTGTTACTGTGCCGCCCACATGCCAAACCTAGCTCTGGAACTAAGAGGTTGTCCGTGCCTTACTGGAGCTAGATCAAGTACATGGTCGTCTTTGACAGATTACTTTGCGCTCTTGCTAGTTTTGGCGGACCGGTTATGTCTTATGAAACGAACGACCAGCAATGGGTTTACAAGATGGCTTCAGATTGATGAAGTATCGGTGGCAAATGGTTTGTACACTACTGTTGAAAGATGGTAGATGCTGCATTGTCTTGTTGAATACAGGATGGAGGAAGCTTACAAAGACGTTTTAACACAAGCAATTCTAATCCGGATTGGGTTCATTCGGCACAGTATTGTGACAAGAGAAATACGACAGGCAAAATATCCATAGATTACCAGTTTGAGTCGCGAGATGAGCAGTCTAAAGAAAGCACTTGACCGCTAGTGTCGTTAATGTAGGAACATGGTGTTTTGCCTTGTTGATGGATGTGTAGACTAGTGCCCCACAGATGCCTGTTTCCAACACCCAGTCGAACCAAGTGACTAAAAAGCTCGACGTGGAGGTCGATGCGATATTGATACGAGGCTCCAGCAACTGTAGTAATGCTATTATAATCACGCCATCGGTTGAATAGTATGTCACATGCTGAGCGTAGACAAGTCTCGCTTAGCAAGTGCGACAGCTCACGCTCGGAGTTGTTCGACTGTCAAAACATCGTACTTTGTTGGGAAATGATGGTGAATGGGTAGGTTGTCACGGCATGTACCTACAAAACACGATACGCGCCTCAAGGTATTGACGCACGGGCTGGATTTGGGCAACGCATCTGAGCCTGAGCATTTGGACAAGGTATGCAAGACGACCGTCACGCCATGACGCCTGCCATGGTACAAGGGTATAGGCGAACTGGCCCACGGTAGTGTACCGCAGCGTGTATCGCGTAACGTTTGTGCGCAATCTTCGAGAAGGAGTAAACCATGTGAAATACGATAGGCGAGATCTTGTGCCCAGCGTCGCCGGCCAAGTGTTGCGAACATGTGTGGCGCAGAAGATATGGATTGCGTGGGAGATGGGGAGTGTGGCATCGCTTAGTATTGTTGATTGGGCAATCGAATTCAAGGTAAAGAAGGATACGACCGACAGATGAAGGCCGAGCGGCTCGAGCGCGTTTGGATGAAATTCGAGGCGGAGCGGCCGAGTGGGGTGACAGGGAGAGGAGAAGACGGGGCTACCAAGAGGATGGGTTAGGGGGCGCAGGGGATAAAGTACGCTCCGTCTTTAGCCGACGGCTCGGCGGCCGACTAGTCCTACTGCGGGTTAGTGACCAATCAGCACATGGACCCATATCAGTCAACTGCAGGGTCCCTGGCTCCTCCCGGCGCGGCAGAGATATTGGTCGCCCGCCCAGCATCTCGCTCTCACGCCACTTTAACCCATGTCTCGCGCTACATGCTGTCCATGCGTTAAGTCGGCAGTCATCAAAATGTGCTGACGCGCTATTCATGAACCTAGTACGCTGGAATTTCGATTTTGGTCTTCATTGCGAGTGTGTGTTTGTGGGTGACTACATACATATCATTAATACATACCAAAGACAGGTGCAACTAGTGCACGCTATTTTGCCGAGCTTAGAGCCTCCGTGTCCATTAACTCTTCAATTCCCTCTCCGCTCGGATAATTCCATACTAGGCTCTCCCTTGACTTCAAAATCTGCACTGACCCAAATGTTGTTGAGTTTGTTGCTTCTTGTGCCTTGGCTGTTTGGAGTCCCAATCTTGATGTAACTCGATGGGTGGCGGCCTGTGCTCCCTGTCGTTTTGTAGCCCAGTGTTGTCGTGTGAATTACGCTGCTCGGGTTGAGAGTCAAGGACGACTCGAGACTAACAAGAAATGGCTTGAGGAATGGTATCGTCGACGTCATGATGCTGGTGACTTTGACAACCTGTCCACTAACAACTATCGGCCAAATTGTATTGAGCAGGTTACTGTCCTGCAAAGAGAGGTTCGAGATGAAAAATATTTGAACAGCCGATGCTCCCACGACACTGTTTCGTCTGTCAGTGATTGCGCCCCAATTTTCCTATCAGCTCAGGTATACATACATCAAACGACACCAGAATCCAACTAGAAGAGTGAGCTTTCTGTCGGATCCAACTTGCAGTGGTATCACCATCAACGTAGGTACTGTGACCAGTGCCAAATCGGTGACTATGTTCATCACGGCGTTGAATGTTCGTATGCTGCGCTGTTTCATGTCAGCTATCTAGGACAAAATCTCGTCTTGGAGGGAGTCTTACAAAGTCCATACATTGCGGGTTTTCAATGTCCCATCTTTGCGGCGATGGACACTGGAAAGCAATCAGAAAGACCGCGGTTATACCCCACACAACAGTGACTGCACTTGTTGTGTACATCATCACGCGGTGCTTGACAACGGGTGTCACTGTCGTAAAAGGAACCAATAGCGAAAGCTTTGCAGCAACGAGTGTGGATACAAAGAGTATATCTCCAATGTACATGGCCTGCAATACTTAGCACTGCGCTCAGTTAACCTGAAAACTGCCTTACCTTCCAAGCCTGCATGATTGTATTTTTTGGATAATCAGACTGCGAATTTCCAATCGCTTGACCAGCAGGACTCAGAAATGTGATAGCCTGCCCTATGTCTAGAATCTTAAAACACGTAAGCCAAGGATGCACATCGTCTGAAGCCTTGCTCAGTTACTTACAAGCGCGGTTGACAATATCCCATCGGCTTTTGTGAATGGTCTTGACATGGCCTTCTTCGTAGCAAAGTGTGACAATACAGACAGTGCTGAAAAGGAAATGAACAACCATGCCAGGACTTGTATCAGCGGCGCCGCATGGCCATCGCGAAATGCAGGCGTCTTGTCGACGTCCATGGAGACAATATTTGCTTTTTTCCCTGACTATTGTGGGTTATGTTGTCAAAATGCGAAGACTAGTTTTCATAGGACTTTGCTCTACATAAGAAACTTAGCTCCCCTAGGCTGAACAATCCATGTTAAAGACTGATACATTTAAAAAATCCTAGAACCGCCTAATTGCATGCGACATGCGCTTGTGGCTGTTTGTCAGACTGCATTATACTACCGACACATGCCATTTCAACAGGTCTCGACTGTGCATGGGGCATCTTTCGGCGGATGGCAGGGGACTGCCATTTTCCGTAGCCCTGTTCGTATCCGTCTGCGTCTAATTACGCCGTGACATTTTCGCCGCGATAACACCTGCGTACGCGGCATGCATGTGTGGCTTTCCATTTCACAATCCCTGCTCTATGCTGCATACCGTCTTTTACCTTTTGTTCGAGCGCGCAGAGCCTTTGTCGGCGACAAACAACTACTAATGCGATCTATGTGCGCATTGTTAACACTAAGATCGAACGTTAGTTTCAGAAATACGATATTGCACATCAGATCTGACTCAAGCGTGACAACATGACGGTTAATCAAAAGATTGAGTTCGCATCGACGATTGCAACCAGGATGGCGGGCTCGCGCGGCTTTTTCCAACCGATGCATAGAGTTCGGAGCACTGCAGGGGAGTACTTTCCAATTGAGTAATAATCGACAAACCGCCGAGTGGTCGCACTCGAATTCAACGGCGCAATAAATTTCCGTCCTACCCTGAGTGCAGGGGAGACAGGCGCAATGGTTCAGTTTCTTTCATAGGGAATGGATCGTGTAAGTTCATGTCGTGTTCTGGGTTAGGTGTGCGGAACAGTGCGCTACTTAAGCTACATGCTAAGCTTTGTAGACGGCGTTCGCCCAAGCAATGCGTTTCCAAAGATACAAGGAGCCCCGCTTTGCTGCATCCCGTGTGTGACAGCAGTGGTGACCTGATTTTGCTGATTTTGCTGACTTTGCTGAATGCGCTTAGTGAACACCAGGGTAAACTGGGACTAACTCGCCTAAAGGCAACGGAAGAAGCCCGCTGGATCGCCGCACTGCCTGCATAGAGTTTATACATAAACCGCCATTTCTCTTGGGGCTTTCCAGGGAAATCTCGACAAATATCTTTTTCCGTCCACGACCAAGCCACCGCCATGGAACTCGAAAATCGCATCAAGTCGGGGGTAGTCGCTTCAAGCGATGAGGTATTCACTCAAGATGAGCGGGATCTAATGCGATTGGGCAAGAAACCGGTGTTGAAGCGCAATTTTGGGTTCATGCAAATCCTTGGATTCTCTTGCACCGTCTTGTCCACCTGGGAGGGAATCCTTCAGTGAGTCCACGAAGAGGCTACAATTTCATTTTAACGCAGCTTGCTTACCACATGCCAGAGTCTCTACCCCAAGTTTGTTGAATGGCGGCCCCGCAGGTGTCTTCTGGGGCTATATCCTGATATGGATCGGCTCCATCTCAATCTATACAGTCCTATCTGAGTTGTCGTCCATGGCACCTACCGCCGGTGGTCAGTATCAGTGAGCGTCCCTATCGACACTCGAATTGTCATAATTCACTAACGCATCTACAGCTGGGTCGCATTGTTGGCACCGAGGTCATGGAGTAAATTCATGAGCTTCATCACTGGATGGGTGTCATTGATCGGTTGGCAGGCTACGACTGCCTCGTCGGCATACTTGGGCGGAGCTATCCTACAGAGTACAATCTTGCTAGTCAAGCCCGAATACATTCCAAAGCCCTACCAAGCAATGTTGATCGGATGGGCATTGCTTGCCTTTGCAGTGATAATCAACACCGTCGGTAGCAAGACGTTGGCCCATTTCGAAGGGTTGATCCTAGTTCTCCACATATTGGGATTTTTCGCCATCTTGATTCCTATGGTGTATCTTGGAAATCACAGCGACGCTTCGATCTTGACTACTTTTGTCAATTCTGGAGGCTGGTAAGTATCTCGCTTGGATGACACTTGTGGTTCATGAACTAATGTAGTGCCTTCATTTCAAAAGGTCAACTCAGACGCTATCTTTCATGGTTGGTCTGCCATCATCCATTTTCGCCCTTGTTGGTGAGTAATCAATGTCTGAACATGGTACAAGGTGATATGTGAGCTAACGCACCCAGGGGTCGACTCATGTGTTCACGTAAGCACTCATCCAGCTGAGGTTCGGCGTATTTACTAAGCACAATTTACACAGATAGCGGAAGAGGTCAAGAACGCAACAAGGGTGATTCCGCGAGTTATCCAATTTAGTGTACTGCTGAATGGCGCTCTGGGATTCGCAATGGTCGTTGCATATCTGTTCTGTCTCGGGAATCTAGACGAGGTTCTAAAAGAATCTGCAACACTCGGATATGCCTACCTGTATGTGTTCCTGAAGAGCACAGGATCACCTGCTGGAGCAGCGACCATGGCTCTGATCATGTGGATTCTCGGCGTTTGCTGCTTGGTTGGCCTCATGGCCGCCACTTCTCGACAGTTGTGGTCTTTCGCAAGGGACAATGCTGTGCCTTTCTCAGCTCAAGTAACGAAGGTAAATACTCCTCTACAGGTCGCATATCTGGGCGCTAACATGGGACGAAGCTTCACCCTCGAACTCGAATCCCTGTTGTAACGATCGGAATAACGGCTACTATCTCCTTGCTGCTATCTACCATCGCGCTTGGCTCATTCGTCGCTTTCAGCAACGTTGTCAATCTTAGTATCGGTGGTCTTTATGCCTCCTACTTTATGGCTTGCGCCTTGCTTCTTTGGCGGCGGATTCAGGGTATTAGACCCTACAGTGATCGCACTGTGATGGTCGGCCCAGAAACCCTACAATGGGGACCTTGGAAAGTTCCCGGAGTATTTGGAATAGCCAACAATCTTTTTGCTTGCGTCTATCTGTTCGTCATGTGGTTTTTCTCCTTCTGGCCAGGTACCGCTACAGTCACCGTACAGTCTATGAACTTCAGTTCTCTCACATTTGGTGGAACTGTATTTCTAGCTGTTCTATGGTACTTCATAAGCGGTAAGAAGACGTATACTGGACCCAGGGTTGAAGTAGATCTGGAGTAGTTTAGTAGAAGTCGGTAGAAACTATCGAAATAGTAATAGAATGTGAGGTCGTGCCTTTACACTTCGAGGCTTTTTTTGAAAATGATGATAGCTTAGAAATCTTCAAGAAATCTTCCAAATACACTAGCTTTCATGACAATCCGAGGTGAATGACCAAAGTATAATCAGTTTACAGGCCTAGAAAGCTGAAGAAATGCACATGAATTAACGAAGAAAATCTATTAGTAAGGAAAAGTGCCCCATATAGCGTTGAGCAGCACTAAATCCTTATCGCCCCAAGTCGTCGCCTCGACTCGAAGCACCACCTCGACTAGATTGAGCCCATGCCTCCTCTCTAGTCCTCCACAGTATTAAGCTTGCCCTTCACTGGTCCCAGACGATCGTTGTCTTCCTTTTTCATCCCTCGCCTCGATTTTGCCGCACTCCTGAACCCACCCCGTCCGACTCCCGCACCAGCAAGAGTGCTAAAGACAGTCATGAAGGCGTTTTCTGGGTCCTGGGATACGCCATAAATGGTGAATGCAGCGTCTCCTACTGTGCCGATAAGCCTGGCAATGGTTCGGACGGCAGTGAGCCCAGCTGCAGCTTCGCCAACAAAGGGAATGAAGAACAGGAGACCCATGATGAAGTTGAGGATAATCTCTTCCCGCTCTGCCTTTTGTACAATCTTCTCCATGGCTGAAATGGCTTCCTGGGTAGAAAAGGCTGGTAGCGAAATCGAGTCGACAAGGTCGGATTCGGTAATTTGCTCGTCCCAGATACCTGCAATTGACATTTCTTGGAAGCGGTACAGCATATCCTGGGCCTTCAGGTATGAATCACCGACGATGTCCTTAGGGTTGTAGGTATTAACTTTGTCTCCGTTCATCATGGGGTAGTTCTTGAAGTAGTTGTTGTTCCACTGGATGCAGTTCTGAGCGTTTTCGCCGGCGTACTGGCAGCCGTTATTGATGAGCATCAAGCGCTTGCCCATCGTGATCCACTCTTTGTCGATGCCCCAGGTCTCGGAGAGATTGTTGTAAAAACTATTCTCATCCTTCAAGGTGAAAGTAGCGTTAGGGATATAGTCACTATCGAGCGTGCCTTTCTGAAATTCGATCCTAGGACACTTGTCCATGGAATACTCGCCCTGGCCGCCCTTGCAATTGGATCCCTTGATGCAATTCTCGAGACAGGTAGCACATGTGCAGTCCTTGCAACATGTTCCTCTTCCGGCAACAAACGGATGCTACAAACAGGCATCTTTTCGACGACTTCGATGGCGCACGCGATGAGATGAACAAGTATGGGCTGGCGATCATGGGATTCATCTTGTCCCCGCTGCCAAAGACTCGAACGTGAACAACATTGTAGTAAAGGATCTCGGTATCAACAAGGCGACTGGAGAGACAAAGCAGACAATAGATTGGGCGAAGACAGCAAACGAGGCCAGGGTCAAAGGGGATAACGATGTCGGCGCCCGTATCAGAGCATTCGCAAACAGTTTCTGTCATAGTTCTACTCCGGATTCTAAGAGTGCAAAAAAGCATTTTCAAGTCTTCAGATCTTATAAGTACATGGAGGATCGACCAAAGAAACGTGGAAGGAGGACTTGAGATGCGGTAGTCGTCAGCTCGGATCTGTGACGGTTTTCTTTTCTCTCTTTACCTTGTTGCAGCTGTGTTTTGAGGGGCTTGCACGATTGCAAATTCTTTCCAGCATGAAAAATTCGGGCTTTTTCAATAATTCGTACTTTCTTTCATGCAATAGAAAGTCTTCTTTCCTGGTGAAATTATGCGATGTATTTACAGAATGTAACGCCAAATGGAAGCGATCCATGACAAAGTTCAGTTGATACCCTGACTGCAAAGATTATATCTGTCAAACTTTCGTATTACTATTACTATTACTATTACTATTACTATTACTATTACTATTATAATAATAATAATTATTATTTTTATAATTGTTGTTGTTCTCACAAGATAGTGAAGCAAGCATGATCAACTGCTCATCCCTTACTTCGGCCCATACAATGTATCAATCTCACCTTCTCCGTCGGGTCCTCTGAACACTCGTTGGGGATTGTCAGGATCAATGAAGAATACATTCTCCTGCCCACATGGCCAGTAATGCTCCTCTGTGGCTCCGACACATGAGGACAGGCCATCCAGAGGCACGATCCAAATTTCCCTTGCGTTCACAAAGTGCCTGACGCCTTCAACCTCGTCATAATAAAACCATTCTGCCTGCATCTCGCGTGCGAACCTTAGGCGTTGAATGGACGGGGCGACTGGCTTGAAGCTGTCAAACATGGACTCTCCAATGTCGATGGTGTCGATGACGAAATCCACCCAGACGTACCTAAGCGTTTGCACCACGGCTTAGCATTGCGCAAAGCTCAAAAACAACAGATAGCTGCTTACTGCGCTCCATGACCGTGTACAGCTAGTTCAGAAAAAGCTTTTTGATACAGGCCATGGTTCCGTGCTTCCCGGCAGGTCTGTAAGACGGCAGGCACAGGCGTCGACGAGGTGAGGTAATGCGCTCGGCCGGTAGGAGTTTGGTGTGTAAGCTCAGCATTCACTATGCGAGGCTCCACTGTCATTTCCCATATTTGCATCCGGAGCTCGTACGGTAGTCGCGGAAATGGGTGGAAAGCTGTCATGCCGCCGCAAAAAGAGGCCGGAGACACTACTAGTACGGCAAGGGTCAATCTCCGGCCAGCGCAGTCGAGCAATGAGTGTAGTAGTGGTGGCGCAGGGCAGGTTCACAAACATGCAGAGTTCATCGTTTGCGAGGCAGTTGTTCCATGCTAGCTGGACCAAGAACAAGTAGTGGAAGGGGTTCCACGATGGCTAGTTTAGGGCCCATGGTTGCAGTAGCGGTGGCGGCTCTAACCGTCAATCAGGCCGCTTTGACCTTCCCGTTGGGGCTGCCATCTTTCCGCCCCCCAAACATCGCCGATATTCCAGCCGCAAAACAACGATCTCGACCCCAAGTTAAGGCTTCCCGTGCAAGCTAGAGAGCATTTGCCCTTTCACCCAGACCTCACAATGGCCGCAAGGATAGGCGAATACCGCAGATGAACATGGGACAGATGGAATGACTGATGCTAGTCAGGGACTTGCCAGAACAACCACGCGGAGAAGCTTCTTGAATGGATCCTGAATGGCACATGGGTTGATCTATAGTATCGCTCAAACAAAGCTAAACGCCACAACGCCAACGACAACTTCATCTTCCAAGGTCTCCTCCAGTACGACTAGTGTCGCTACGCTTGCTCCGTCTCCAACTGCCGGGACGGCATTAGGCTGCTACCCGGAAGACTCCACCATGCCAATTCTGGAGCAAAACATGAACCCCAACGGCAACTCGTCTCTCACTATTGCCAAGTGCAAGAACAGCTGCTAACGCCGTGCATTTGGTTTTGCGGGTGTTTAGAAGGGCAACCAATGTTGGTGTGGTAGCTACGTCGGCGGAAGCTGGGCACCGGAGTTCTCAATGCTGCCTTTGTTCTAGGAGCACCTCACCTTGTTGAGCGCGATGGATCGTCTCCTTCACTTTCATTTGATCCAAACACCACCAAGTATTGCTCTTGGTGGGTTGATTTGACCTCGAAGAAAGACTGCTCTCTTCTAGAGGAAATTTCATTACCCTCGAGGACTTCCGTCGCTGGGTAAGACATCTTCCTCTCGTTTTCTTTGACGTGAACATCGTTGACACGAGTCTATAACCCTTTCATCACTGCTGACTGTGGTGGTCTCGTCATCGGAAACTCTTACTGCGTAGAAACTATGAACGAGCCTGCTCCAACTACTTCCTCGTCGAGTTCCTCTTCGACATCCGTTGCTGCCTCTACCTCGGTCAAGCCTACGTTGTCTTCTTCCTCAAAGCCTGTAGTCACAACTCCCTCTACCACCATCAAGCGGTCAACATCGACTACCGCCCCGCCTATGACAACGAAGCCCTCTAATGGAGTCGACACACCATCTCCGCTGCAACCCAGTGTCGCTACTAACTGTGATTCTTTCTACTATGTTAAGAGCGACAATAGCTGTGAGAACATTGCCAAATTTAACGGCATCTCCACTGCCCGGTTCCTCTCCTGGAACCCGAGTGCTGGCTCCGACTGTACCGGGCTCTGGGTTAATGCATACGCATGCATTAGCATCATCGGCCACACACCTACTTCTGTAGCTCCCATGACGACCACAACTGGTAATGGTATCGCAACTTCGCCCTCCATTCAGTATGGCATGGTCCGTAACTGCGACAGCTTCTACATGGTAAAATCAGGTGACACTTGTGACAAAATTTCCTCCAGCAATAGCATCACTTCGGCTCAGCTCATCTCCTGGAATCCGACTGTTGGCTCAAGCTGTGGTAGCTTGTGGCTCAATACGGCAAGTTTTTTTTTTTTAGATATCAGACCTCAGCGTGAGCGGTTCACTGATCGTGTGATACAGTACGTTTGCATTTCTATCGTCAGACACACACCCAACTACTACCAAGGCTCCAGTCACCACAACAAAGCCTGGAAACGGCCTTACCACGCCTGCACCGTATCGGACTGGTATGAAGACGAGCTGCAAGATCTTTCACTTTGTTGCAAGTGGAGAGACTTGCGCAACTATCTCTGCGAAGTACAAAATCACTACAGCAAACTTTGCTAAATGGAATCCAGCGGTTGGTAGCACGTATGCTGGCTTGTGGGCTAGCACATATGCGTGCGTAGCTGTGCTATAATCATAGATTACCTCTAATCTTTTTTTTAATAAACTACCAACCCAACTTGTAAATTCTATCTGTGCTGTCGGCGATGAAAGTTCTTAGGTTGCTCTTCCTCTAGTTTCAGCTTTCCATTTCGCCGCCCATGATCTATCTGCTTGTATGCTGTACCATCTGCTCAGCGTAGACTTGTGCGGATACAGTGTAGGAGGAATTTTTGCTAGTGGGTATCTACGGCCATCCGCCCTCCATCCACTTCCTATTATTCAGCGTCGCCACCCCTGAAGCCGAGGTTAGCTAGTTAGAAGCAACCCCGCCTTGCTTACATTCAATTAAACTTGCTCAGTTCACTATTCATCAATAGCCAACGCTTCTTTCCCTGTGGCTTTGCTTTGAGCTGTCAGCATTCGAGATCTTTCTATGATTATCACGTGCAAGCTATGTCTGGAGAGGGCAGAGACTGCTGTCTAGCGGCTCTGAGCGAGTTTTTTTTACTATGCGCTGCCACGCAGGTACCATGCACAACAAGCACTGAAGCTGTGTCCTCTGAAGTTCTCACACAAACGTCACTACCCCGTACCATACGTCAGCCCCGCCAACAAACACAAATCTACTGTGGGAGACGCGCTCATAACAGCCCCATTCAAACACTCACCTCTATTCAGAATATTTTTAGAATAGGATAACTAAAACAAGTACTGGGATGAATACTAACTCTCTTGTTCTTGCTCCTGGGGGCGACGTGATTTTAGTCGTAGGTGGGAAGCGATTTCGCATACATGTGGACTCTCTCTTTCTCAAACGGCATTCAACGGTTTTTGCAGCTCTACTTGGTCCAAACTTTCGCGAAGGTCAAGATTTGAATACCTCATCTCCAAGGGAGATTCCCTTACCGGATGATGATCCGTATGCAATGACCACTATCTGTGCGACGATGTACCACGACTTTAGTAACATTCCGCGAAGTCTAACAACAGACCTAGTTCCTAGCATAATGAGACACGGGGATAAATACAATTGTCACGATGTTCTTACCCTAGCATCCTAGGTCTATGGCTGGCTCAAACCTGATTATTTGACTGTTGGAAAAGATCTAGCAAATATTCTCGCCGTGTCGTATATGGTTAGAGATTAGGAAGCATTTAAGAATGTGTAGGAAGCCTTAGTCTCGAAGTACAATGGATCATTCGCAGATCTAGCTGATAATGTAGTTTGTAATGTTCTGCCTTGGTAGACATTCTGTAAGTCGACAGACAAGTGATTACCTTGTTACATGCTAACTAGTAATGAACGTAGGCAGATTGGAGGAGCTTCGGGGCCGTGTACAAGCACTCGCAATCGGCATAGCATTAGGCCAATTAGCGCCTCAATACAGGAGTTTTGGACACAATAACCCTTCCGGATGCTCTCAGCTCACGCAAGAGATTTAAAAAAATCATTATTGATATGTTAATAGAAGTGCGCAAAAGATAAGAGCAAGATTATGGTGGGCGCTTGCACATGTCCCCTTCGCATCCGCCCACAACTCGGCAGTCAGTAATTGGGCCTTTGCTTGAGAAATTACAAGAACTAGCGAAAGCCTGTCGTTCATTCAAGGAAAATGTATAAGCTTCACAGCTAGACACATTTTGCCTAAGTTTGGCAGGCAATGGCCTTTGACAGGTTGCTATGTTACCCGAATGGTACTGAGGATCTAAATTGACCCGTTAAGGAGCACGGAGAATGATAGTGTATACAGCCAATGTATTGGTGAATCAAAGAGTTAACACAATCGCTCCTAGCTACCAGAAATCTCGCTGGTGTCGGGTATACTCCGGTATCCTTATCTATTGGCCAGACGCGCGTTCACGTCATCGAAGCTTCGCTAGCTGAACGCGCGTTCACGTAATCAAAGCCTTACGCGCTAGACGCACGTTCATCCTTTCAAAACCTCAACAGCTATACACACGTTTGCGTCATCGGAGCTTCAAAGCCCTCCTTCCAAGCATCTTCGTTTTTTAAAAGTATCACTGTTCAACAATTCAATTATGATACGTACATACATATAAACAGTTTTAGAATTAACGTGCTATAACAAACAGAATAGACGATATGCTAGTCTGTACACCAAATCCTAAAGACCTTACTCCACACAGATGCACGGTAGTTAGAATTTATCACACGTATGTGTTATTAGGGTCCACATTCTGCCGTGCGCTATACTGTACCTGTTTAGTCACGTGATGGCTTGTGTGGAGCGGAACTGTGTATCGTCACACTAAGCCAGTAAAGAGAACTCTTGAGTCAGTTAAGAGGATCGCCAAGACAAAAAGAAGGATTGCCAAGTTATCTAGAGTATTGATTCAGGAAGACTTGGCCTCGGGATTACGCGTACTTCAACAACAGCGATAAGTGGATTCTTCTTCTTTTTGTAGGATATGAATATAAAACCTATTGGGAAATACACATTAATCATCACTGCTCATCTAGTTTGTTCACCTGTTTTCCATTGTGTAAATTTGGTTGTCCTGCCTCCGCTCTTGCTCACTCTATACATACTATTTCCCGTTCGAACAAAATGAAGATCCCTACTATTGCTTCTACGCTTCTTAGTCTTTCTGTGCTTGTGGCAGCGCATCCAGGCCAGAGTAAGGCTGAGATGAAACGGGAGGCAGCAGAACGTAGTGCCTATCTGAGCACACACAAACGTTCGCTGGCTCATTGCGCAGATCAACTGAAGGCAAGGGGTAATGATGTTGCTATGCAAAATCGCCGTCGCTCTTTGGTTGAGAAGGCACGCCAGAAAAGGTCAATTAGTACTAGTAGGTTTCTTCTAGCACACTATTTTCGAGACTAAACAGTAATTCTAACCTATAATCCAGTGAAGCCATATCTCCAAGTCCGGGATCTTGATACTGTCCTTGCTAAGGACCACAAGTCCAATCTCACTGGTGTCACCCCTGATACGGACCCGTCACTTCTCTTCTCAGGCAATAACAGCTGCATTCTTACGCCTGAGGTTACCGAAGGTCCCTACTGGGTTTCTGGTGAACTCGTTCGCCAGAATATAACCGAGAACGAGCAGGGAGTGCCACTGATCCTCGACATTCAGGTTATCGACATCGAAACTTGTGAACCTGTACCTAAGGTCTATCTCGAGGCATGGCATTGTAATTCTACTGGTGTATATTCTGGCGTCGTTGCAAACGGTAACGGCAACTCTGCTGATACGGCTAATCTTGACGCGACCTTTCTCCGTGGTATCAACCTGTCTGACGATGATGGTGTTGTGACTTTCGACACCGTATTTCCTGGACACTATACTGGTCGCACAGTAAGACCAATTCGTTTTTTTGCACTGACTATAAGCTGACTCAGACTTAGACCCACATTCACGTCTTGACTCATGCTGGCGCTTCCTTGAACGCTAACAAAACCCTGGCTGGTGGCAATATCACCCATGTTGGCCAGGTGTTCTTCGATCAGGATCTTATCACGCTCGTCGAGGCCGAAGAGCCATATACCACGAACACGCAAGAGCTCACGACCAACGCCCAGGACTTTATCCTTGCCGAGGAAGCTGAGGAGGTTGATCCCATGGTTGAATATGTTTTACTTGGAGATAATGTATCCGACGGGATTTTTGGATGGATTGCTTTCGGCATTGACACAACTTCCTCATACAATGTCACTCCAGCTGTTTATTATACTAGTGAGGGTGGCGTCAAGAACCCTGACGGTGGTTTCGGAGGTCCGCCCTCGAACGGCACCGCTCCCTCTGGTTTTCCGCCTATGAGCCCCCCACCGTCTTCTACGTCTGTCTAGATGTTACTCTCTCACCAAGAGGCTTATAGAAAGATTACAGTATGTATGAATTAAGTCCTGAAGATCAAGATGTTATTCTGATACTTGGCGGTTCGTAGAGCTATATATTGTTGCAGCTTAAGGGAGCTACTGCTTGAAGCTCTAAGAATTGTTTAAATTTATTAAAGCACCGGTAGCTAGCTCCCGGTGAGGGCAACACAAATACGTCGAGCGCATATAGTCACGTGAATTCCTAGCCTTACAACAACGCCGTGTAACCATCGACTTTACCCCATCCAATGAAATGATGACACAAAGCTGGCAGGATGAAAAGCTGCCAGCCCCTCCCATTTTCAGTAAGGGCATACTATATTTACCCCACTGAGAGGATTGCGACTCCGAAGTCAATACTTCCATCATTTCATTATTCCGTGTGCTTTCAGAAATTCATTCCGCCATTGTCAATCATGACCTTGACCACGAAAGAGATATTAGTAAATTATGTATCAAATGCAGGGACATTAAGAGCATTCCTAGAGAGTATCGTTGGGCTTCCAAATAACCCCCCATCTCTGTACCTTTCCACAGACTCATGCAGTCTTATCGCATACGTTGAACCAATCTTAACCCTGAATGTAATCGATCTATCTGGTCTCCGGGAAGCAATCCTTGAGAGAAGCGAAAGCGCGGTTCGTTTGAAACATATCCTGGAAATAGAGCCTACACGAAAGGTCTTCTTCGATGCCCGCACGCCAGCAAAAGATCTTCTCAGTAGTTGTGGTATTCGACTTACTAGCAATGTAAGACAGATCCATCATCATACTTGGCATAAGAACTGAATGTAAAAGGCCTATACGAGCCAAACATATGTCCATGAAGTACAAATGATGGAAATAGCGTTGCGTCAAAGCGATAGCCACTGTGAATGGCTTGCAAGGTTCGATACATGCATAGACCGAGATTCAAGACTCAACACTAGTACTTTCTCATTCAAGGGAGTGCGTGGAAATGGCTTTGATAAGCGGATTTTGCATCTCCCTTTCTTGTGGAAGAAATACCATGATCAGCTGACTACACGCTCACAATGGGGCATGGGGTTTTGGATATCGATGATACGCGAAGCAACACAGAAACGATTAGAGGCACCAAGAACTGAAAACAACAGCATGAATGGCCCTAGAAGTGGCTGGGACTTGGAATTCATTGAAGATCAAACTGAATCTTGGAATAATGATGTTGAGATGGATGCTTACACGAACGGAGAGTGGCTAGGTGGCCAAGAGTATTGGGCAAGATTTGAAGTCTTGTAGTTGATGTAACTACTAATAATACGAAAAGAGTTATCTCCCGCGTAAAATTGTATTTCTCGCTTATAACTGAAGAGTCTATGCAGAACTAAAGGTGCAATTTAACCGTGAAGATTGGTTCTACATATATAATCTATATAAAGCGTAGTTTAAAGTCTATATTATAGTAGACGGGGTTATTCACCGCTATTACTCATAATAGCGATATCACAGCTCGCTTGCAATGTATGTATCAAGCCCCATGACGTTTATGCGATTGTCGAGAAGCTATTTACTCTACTCCAAAAGATCGAGAAGAAAGAGCGTGAAGCGGCCAAGAAGGATTACTCTGCGAGCTGCGGCACAAACGAGAGCTGTTATTCTAGGATCCGAGCAGGATACAGTGCAGTTCGTGATGTGACGGATCTACAAAGGTTTCTTCTCTTATAAGGACCTACAGTAGCTCTACAAAGCCTTACAGCTCGCGATGCTTTTAGGGATTAAAGCGCTAGTTGAGTTCCGCTAGACTAAGCTATATATTGTTATTAATAACTTTTTGCAAAGTGAACTAACTTATAACGTTTCACTTTAAAGCTCATTTAAATGCAGCTTAGGCCATTATGAAAACAATCTACGAGTCATCTTTAACTCGTAATGAAGAACCAGAATGCACTGAAACGTTTATAGGGATTAGTTGTCAAAGCCGTGGCTACCCACCTTAACCTCAACTTATGGACAAAATTGAAGCCTAACTTACATAAGACGCAGTTGAGAGTCTAAAGTGCAATAGATTAGGCTCGTCCTTTTCTTTTTTTCTAGTTAGTTTTCGAATTTGTTTTTGGCTGGCGGAGATTGTGGTGTTCGTCACTCGGCTGGGCGCTATCTGGAAGCGGGAATTCCTAATACCTTAGCACGGCTTCTTAGAGCTAATTAGATCGCATTCCTTCTCGCACGCAAACTCCCTCTGGGGTCAATTGTAGTATGCAGCTAAAGCTGCGATTAGGCTCCAATGGTCGGAGATCAGGAGATGGACCCAGACAAGCAATCCTCTAAGCTAGCTGACAGGCTCGCCCAACGGGCTCATACCCGACGCCCTGCAATTCAGCCTCTTCATTGTCATCACTCACGGCAACAGTGTCTAGCTTGTTCTTTTATACGGCGACGGCAGTGTCCAGCGGACGGGCCGGTCCTCAAGCTACTTTGGCACTGGTGGACCATGTAACTTGGCATTCGACAAGAGGGAAATCTCTTCCTTGCTCACTCTACTCTCGGTAGGATGGATGTGCACAGAAAAGACGAAAGTACGCTGTGTACAATCACAATAGGGCGTGTGAGAAATGGAATGGCCAATCTGACAGGGGTTGTCGAGGGGCTAAGAAAGCTGTACATGGTCGGAAGTGAGAATGCTTCGGTCCTCGTAGTGAACTAGTATTGGAGCGGACTGCTGTAAACGGTACAGAAGTCACAGACAATTTCCACTTCGATCCGTCTGTCCCCATGCACTCCACAAAACCGCCAGCTCCGCGGCTTGTTGTCGTTCCGAACACCCTTCTGCTACATTCTTTAGACAGAATAGTGGTAGTCATGATAATATGCATTATCAACCAAGGTTCCTGCAAATCAATTTGCACCTTCACCATCCACCATAACGGCAGTACACATTAGTAAATATCACGTAGAGTAATGAGCTCGATATGTCAAGCCGTACCAATATATACAAGTTTTTTTTCAAATTCAAGGTGTCGGTCTCTTCTGCGCACAAGGCCGCATTTTGACCTGACTTAAGGCGCTTAATAATGTAGGCTGTGTCCTTGAAAACCAATTACTTCTTAGTGGGCAACCCATCACCGACCCCATCGAGCGAGGCAAAGCTTACGATTTTACACTACTAAGCATTCACGATAATCGTAAGGCTTTAAAAGAATACCAAGCAAGCCCAGAGCATCATCGCTACAGCTCCAAAGTTTCAAAAGACATTTGTACCATACTAATGCTCTACCAGGGTCGCTAGTGAATATCTATAGCCGTACAGAGAGGATACAATTAGATTGGACTTTAAGATTAATTATGGTGATAGGAATACATACTGTTTCATCGCGAAGAGGAATTATATGTATATAGATAAAAGTTTTAGTAGAAGGGAAGAGACATGCAATGTGCAAGTTCGGCATGGGTGCTAAAGCATGCTTACTTAAATTAAAGTGTAGTTCCTTTGTTACAGTCCAGGGAAACTTTATGCATCTCATTTATTGATTAGCTAAGGATTACTTGACTAACCCAGCCTCCGTTTTACTTTTCCTACATCGCGTGGAAATAGCCTCCGACGACAGAGCGAATCGATCGCTTAAGCTACTGTCTGAAAATTTACGATGCGGCATGCATGGCCTGAGATGCCATGGAACGACATGCTATCAACATCCACTACGAAGACCGGATTCTTACCTTGAAAGAAAAGTGGCCAAATACTGAAAGGCCTTCGAGGGGCTGGACGTATTGACATCACGAAGATCTTCGAGATGGGCAAAGCGGTCAAGAGAGATGAACTTGGGATTGGTCGGGGATGGGGCCATAGTGGCCAGATAGGTCATGATGTCGGCGTGGGTGGGCCGGTTTTTGGTCATGAGAGCACTTTTGATGTTGTTGCGCATTTGCTCGATGGCAGTGTCGTGATCCTTGTTTCCGTTAGCGGCCTCGTCGAGGGTCATTGTTTTAAGGGTGCGCAGGCAGGCGATAAGCAGGCTACAGAGGCCGGCGGCGATAGCGGTAGCTACGGAGCTGCCGCTGATCTGGTCGGTGGAGCCGGTGAGGAAGGGGATGGCCCCAACAGCGACGTCCTGGCTGTTGATGCGAAAGTCGTACTGATTGACCTTCTTGTTGGGGTCGTCGATGGTATTATCGTCGAAGTCATACAGCAACTTGCCGTACATGTTACAGCTGGCCATGCGCAGCATCGTCCCGTGCGGATTCGACGCCAGGTACCACGGGCTCACGCGTTTCTGCTCATACACAAACGGCTTGCCGTCGCAAATGCGCGCCCATAGGCTGTCGGGCGTCAAGAATTCTTGGCTTTGCAGATGCTGCTTGCTACTGTTGTTGCCTGTACCACTGCTGCCGTGCACATACGGCACGCTGTCGGCTCCAGACGGCGGCGCGCTCGGCGAGTCCATGCTGAGGATGCCATTGTCGATGATGGCCACTTTTGCTGGCTGGAAGCCCTTGGTGTCGTGATATCTGGAGGCTTTCTGCCGGTAGTATGCGATGAGAAACAAATAACAACGCATATCTCCTGTAGCCGTGGCGTCTCCGTCTGTGCCGTCCAGAACTGCGACTCCACCTCGATTTGCATCGATCTTTTGTCATCCCGCAACTCTTCGATTTTTGTATTTATGTACCGGAGGATCGTGTTGCTTTGCGCTTCAGTTGTGAGTTCCTACGTAATGCATGGTGAGCAATTCCCCCCTTTGCCGCCCCCACCCCCCCGCGGTTGTGTCGTTGCATCGGCACACGTACCTTGATTACATGAATGTGGACATGTTCCAGATTCATCGACTTAAGTCCCTCGCTGCTAAACCAGTGATCCAGCACTGATCGCCGCCCGCCCGTGTAGAGGTGTAGCCGCCTGAGGTATGTCTCTTGCATGCCCTTTTCATGCTTGCCAGTTTTTCCTGTCTTGGTTGTCTTTTCCGGTTTGTTGTCCTTGACCTCGTCGACGGGGCAAACAAGTGGAATGTCCTCGGGCTCGCCGTGCGGCTTGAAGATGTTGAGCGAGAGGTCGAGGAAGCGCCAGTCAAGCTCTTCGATGCGGAACCGCCTGACTACGCGGGCAATCTCGAGCTCGTCGTGCGGGTGCGCCATGCGATCTGGCACGCGCAGTGTGATGATGCGGCGCACACCGTGCTTGGCGAACCAATCGACCATGTCCAGGATCTCTTTGTGTGTGCGCTGCAGATGCGAGCGCTGCCGGTTCTGTGCGGCAGGCGTCTGCGGCTGCGTGCTGAGGTCGAGCACTGGGAACTCGGCATACTACCGGATCGTCTCTTCGTAGCGGATCAGGTTGTAGCTGCGCTTCTGCTGCGGCATCAACTTGACAAAGTCGGCCACGTTCGTACCCTCGATCAGAAGTCGGGACATGTCAAAGTTGATTTCGTTTTCTGTTTATTTTTGAGGAGGATTAGAACGAGAACCAATTGGAGGTGGGGAAACATCGATCAAATCGTCTTACCAGGTTCTGTTGTGTAGAGTTTTGTCAGAAAGGCACTGAACAAAAGGGTTTCTGGAGCAACATACCTCCTGATTCTCGTAAAGCATTGAGAAGCGTTTGCACATTTTCGGCGTGCTTCATGACACAGTAGATCAGCGCCGACCGAATCTCCTTCCACATCCGGTTTTGCTCGTCAGAGTTGGCTTCCCTCTTAACCTTGTTGTTGAACCAGAGCGGATAGAACCCGCTGTCCGCATTTTGCACCTTCTGGTCACATGGCATGCTATCCTTGGCAGTGCTGGCCTCCGCCGTCTCAATGGACGCTTCTGTTTCTTTTTTTTNGAATCGTAGCGCCGGCGGTGGTGATATGGACATAGGCGCGGATGACGGCGAGCTGGGCATTGCAGCGCAGCAGTGTCTCCACCAGCGGCTGCTGCTGGTAGAAGACGGCCATGTGGAGAATGCCGGGGACGTCTTTAAGAAGGGAGGCAACAGGCTTAAAGGACGCAAATGGCACTTTGGATGTTTTGATGTCATCTTTGGCAACTTTGGCATAGGCCTTGAGGATGTCGGCATCGTTAAGCAGGTTGTGCTGCATGACCTTGGTGAGCACCTCGGGCGATCGGAGCACGTCCTCAGGCGTGTGGGACAGGACTTGGATGACTAGTTTTCGACAGTTTTCCTCGTCGTCGCCGACGCCGTCATCATGGAGTTGGTCGTTATCGTCAATGTTTTCATCGTCGTCGTTGTAGTCGCTCGGGTTGTCGTCGTCTTGGTTGTGGTCGTTGCCCGACAACAGCGCGCGCTGCGACTGCTCATCCTTTTTGGATATCCAATTATCCATCGCCTTCACGACGTGCTCGCGCATTGTTAGCTGGTTACAGTGGTATTTGGATGCGAGAATGGCAATGGCCAGGTTCAGGTATGTATACTTGATGACGCCGTCAAGCAACTCTTGGTCTTGGGATCGGTCCTTCTTGTCGCCCTGCAAAATCGTGGGAATTTCGCATAGGGCATAGTTGAATGCCAGGTGAGCTGTTGTTCGATGATCAATGATGTTACGGTGGAATTGCTTGTTGTTCAATAGTACAAGCTTGGTGAACTCGGCTATTGCATCATCCCACTGCTTGCATTTGCGGTAGTACTACAGCTCCTTCGCGCCCTTCAGCAGTGCTTGCATTTTTGGGTGGCCCTCCCACAAGGCCGTTGTAAACAGCGTTCTTTCCATGTCTTTGCCTATCCTTTTGCGTAAGTGCGGGTTACCCAACGTCGTCCGCGCCTCCGCCTCAGCCATGGTGGACGCTTGCTGCCCGGTCTGCTGTTTCGGTTGGTTTTGTGCTAGTGCTCGCTGCTGTTTTGATTTCTCTTGCTTTGCTGTTCCCCTCTTGCACGAGTCCTCCATCTTTTTTCCTGACGGGGAATGAAACAACAGATCCCATCCATTTCTTTCGCTCGCCATTATCGTCTTAGCTAGCTTCATGTGTGCGTCACTCGTTTGTGTGTCACGGATCACTAGTTGCAGCAAATGCCATCGCACGCATCTGTCCATGAGCTCGCTGTCTTCTTCCAAAGAGTTTTTGATCAGTTGCTGCCCATGCTCCTGGCCGAGCGTATTGTGTGTCGTTGCAACGAGGCTCCTGTAGAGGGGTTCAAGCTCTTTTTGGAATTCAATGTTATCTTTGTAGGATGGGTTGCGCCATTTTCCAATGGCCGTCTTGAGTTTTGCCTCCATGAAGTAGGCTTGTGCTTGCTGATGTGTTAAGGGTGTCTGCTGGCGTATTTTTTGGTCTTTGGGCCTTTGTTGTTGTTTTGAAATTTGAATCTATTCGAACCTTTTGCACACAAGTACAAATGTATATTTCTTTCCCTGTTTCACGCGACGTATTGGTTCGTCTCTCTTACCGGAGAAAGTCGGTACCGTGGCTCTTTCGGACATGCCATGCAGCGTGTCCAATTTGGCAGCCGACTTGTCCAATGGAATTGTTGCATCTCGTCTCTTTACCCGGCCTCGCCTAATTACCCTTGGCCAAATGCTCTGACTACTCTCCAGCATTGCTATACGTGTGGGTGTGTCCTCCTCCTGGCCGTAGCTATTGCTACCCCCTTCTGCTGCAGAAAGCCGAAGCAGGGCGTCCAATATGGCAGCCGAGTCTTCCAGTGGCGTTGTCACATCTCGTCTCTTTGCCGTCCTTGCCGATTTCCCCTCAGCTGAATGCTCTGCCTGCTCCTCCGTCCAAGACACTGCTGCAGCGTCATCATTTTCGCCCTCAACCTCCTCCTCGCCGCTGTCGTCTTCCTCATGCCCATCCTGGACATCCTCGTTTTTAGTGCCTGCCATTTCTTCCAAGTCCCACGGCAGCTTTAGACTCGTGTCCATGTCCGGTGACAGCAGAGCCTCGAAGTGATTCACGTCCAGCTTCTGCCACATTTTTTTGCCCTGCAAGTAGGACACGGCTGGCTCCGTGTGGCCTAGTTCCTTGGGTATGGCGCGTATCACGCATTTGTGTTCCTTGTGGCCGAACAACTTGGCCGTGTCCACCTCGGCAGTTATCTTGACGGCGTACTTGCTGTCATCCTGTCGCGTCAGGAGTAGATACAGTAGCAGCTCTAGCTTAACGCCATCGCCCGCTAGGTGGTTATGCTCCATATTCCACTTGACGCCATTGAAGTTGCTGCTCTTGCCGTCACTTTCCAAGAAGGACACGGGCTGGGACCGGTTCACGTCAAAGTAGCTTTTGCTCCACTCGCGTGTCTTGCTGGCTGTACCTCCGACCGTGCCCTTGGCCTTTGTTACGCCCGCCTCGAGATTCTCGTGCAGGCTGCGGCTGCTTGTTTGCTTGGCCGTCGTCTCATTACCCTTCTCTACCGTGGCAAACGGCGCCTAGCCGACGACGACAGGTCGCTGTGCCTCGACCGTGTCTGTGTCTGGACGGGTACTGTGGAACTCGACCTGAATGCACGCCGACTGTATGGCCTTGTTCTTGCCCGCGCCGCTGCTCTTGGTGTGCGATTCCAGATTCACCTTGAATACGACCAACGTCACCTTGGTCGTAGTGGCCGTTGTCTTGCCCACCTTGTCTTTTTCCGTCAGCATGACCCCGTCGGCCCACAGCAGCCGGTCCATCGCCCTTGATAGTTTGCGTCTTGGGGTGCGCGTCACCTTCGCGGTTCTCCTCGCTGGGCGCGACAAGCTTGATTGTGGTGCTCTCCGCCAGTCCCTCAAACGAGATGGAATTATCGAGCTCGGCTTGTGTCATGGGGCTGCATATCACCGGTTCCTCGAAGATTTCATCGCCAAAGGAAGATTCGCGGCCGAAAAGGTCGTTCATTGTCTTGCTTCCTCTTTATCTGTACTTCTTCCCTTTACAACAAACTCACTTTCTAAGTCAATATATGCAGAATGTCCGACCTATTCATTTGTATAAGCCCGTCCCCTGTACAGCGCCATATCGTACTATGGGCTTCACGGACTGTGTTGCAACAGCCGGGCACCAGCTTGCATTGCAGCTGGCCAGTACATCATGCAGGAGTCCGTATTAGACAACACTAGCCCCTGTACTGAATGCAGCAATCCGAAGTACCTTCTAAGTACCTGCCATGTTCTTTGGCCTGCGTACCCCATGCCCCCATGTAATCTTGTCCCCGCTACAGCCTGCCCGTCTTATGTAGACCAAGGCACAACTGGGGTAACAATAGAACAACAAAGACATCAAGAACAATATGGGACATCTCAACATTTCAACTGAGCCTGCCCCGGGCGTGACCATTGACCAGAAGGACAACAAGATTACCATCACAATCACAGCCGCGCCGCTGTCCGATGACGGAGTCATTGGCAGGGACACGCATGCTCTGTGGCATGCAGCCTACGTGCGCTTGCGGGAGGAGCACACAAAAGAACTGGTCGATTTTGAGGAGCAGGCTGCCATTGTCTTTCGGCCCTTGCAGAGAAGAAACAGCTCGAATGTTCTTGCCCGCTCCTCCATGCCTGGCTGGCACACTATGGAGCCGAAAGCAGTGCTGGGTGCCATCCGCCACTGGATCTTCGAGGGTGAATTTGACGGAAACAAGGGAACTGAGGGAGACGAGGAGAAAAAAGAGGACCAGGTGTGCCGTGCTCTGTCGTCGAGCAAGACAATATTGAACAGAAACGTGCAGGAGAACCCGGGCGCCCACCTCGCGTGGGTTGCAGCCGGTCTATGTATCCAGGTACGTTGTGTGCTGTAGATTAATCTTCTGTTTTCCTTCTTTCTGACACGAGCCGCAGACACTGGTCGAGAAACCACTGCCCGCATCTGAGGCGCCGGGCCTCGCATATATTATCGCACGCGTTGCTTTCTATGACCGGCTGGCGCAACTAGCGTCCAAGGTCCCAGGGAAAGACGAAGCAGGCGACAAGCCCCTCTGTGAGGGGCTTGTCGATCTGTACACGGCTGTACTGAAGCAGCTAATTGTCGTCCTTGCGCTGGGCTATGTGCCGCGCGAAACGCGTGCACAGCAGCAGAAATTTGACAGCCCGTACGCAGGTGTAGGTAGCGCAGCTGTGCATCCCATCATCGCGCTTGAGTCGTCCTTGTGGCAGCATGTGGGGGATAAGGCACTGGAAGAGAGCATCACCAAGCTTGTGCGCCTACAGGCGCCGTCCACAGCTCTGTCTGACAAGGATGGCAGGGAGGCCTACGAGACATCCAACGACACAACGAAAGGCGACAACCATGTCGATGATGACGATGGCAATGGTAGCGATGACGAGGCTGATGATGACGATTACAGCGATGCCGATCAATCTGACAACAACGAAAACAATGACAGCAACGTCGACGCGAAAACCTACGCCACCCTCTACGACAATAGGGATGACGCTTCTGTATGCAGAGAGATACAGAAACTGCTATGTGTGGCCCCCATACAGCCACCGTGCCTACCGCGGCCGCCGCTGCCGCCGCTCCATGATTCGCCGGACGTGCTCGATGGCCTGTATCGATGGGCGTTGAAACAGGACGAGTACAGGCGGTGGTGCAAGGTACACAGCCCGACGATGTCGATTCATATGCCCGCATTCTCTGAGTCCACAGTACGGATAGCTCAAGCATGACGATGCTGCTGCACGCGCAGCGCAGGCGGAAGCTGAGAACCAGCCTGCCGATGGATGCTGGGCGATCAAAACGTGTCGTGGCACACGCGTTTTGGAGCTGGTCCCGGGACGTGAACGGCATGTCCATAGTGTCTGTCCTGCGAGACTTAGTATGGACTGTGCTCGCAGCTCAGCCCAAGTTGAAGAAGCACCTAGTGGAGGTGGTGCAGGTCATGGGCTGGCCCTCACTACTGGATGGTGACGGCGAAAACTCAAAAGCGCGGTACGCCGCGTTGGGCACGTCATGCGACTTTTATACCATGCTGGTGCTGCTCTGCCGCATTGTGCGCGATGAAGAGTTTGCACCGACGTGTTCCATCGTTGACTACATGAACGTGTCGTTAGGTGATGAAGATGTCGACTATGAGGGTGGCCGGGACGGGTCCCACAAAAACGGCCTGAGCGGCTCGGCCCGCACCGCGCAAAAGCGCGCGTGGACGGTCCGCGACCTAGTGGCGCTCGTGCGCACAACGTGTCGCCAGTCACGCAAGGTGGCCTGGATCATGTCGTCCTCGTCCTTATTTTCATCGCTGTCGAAAGGTGAATACCACCTTGACCTCTCACCTGAGGACCTGACACTTGGCAAGGTCATATACGGCCATGTCCGAGCCACATTACAAGACAGGCTCGATAAAAAGCGTTACACATCGGATATACTGAATAATCTCGCGACCGAGCTCATCCGTAAGGCTAGCAGCCATGTCACCTGGTCCACAATCGCTGTTGATCTTCTCGCTAGAGTTCGCCTGCCATGGAACGCGATGCACGTCCTACAGCGACTGCCCGACAGTAGCGCGGGCCTAGGTCCTCTTCTGGACAGCATCGTGCGAGTTAATGCTAGCGACAGTGATCGTGACAATAGCAGCGCCGAAACACTCGTCGAAACCGTCTTAAAAGTGGCGGCGCTCACGTTCCGCCCCCCGACGGTCCTCGAGCTGGCAGCACTTGCCGAGCCGCCGGCCACGGTGGACGCTGTGATTTTTATCGATGTCCTCACACGTCCACTGCTAGAGCTCCAGGCTTTAGACAACACGAATGGAAGAACAGAAGGACAGAAATACGTTTACTTTTCGAGTCGGGCAGTGTTGGCGGCCCAGCGCGCACGTTTGGCCAAGGACACTACGGCACGCGACCTGCACGCCGACATGGTTTGCCGCCACCTGCACTGTCTTGCACGTCACTACGGTGATGCCGAGAATAAGGAGCTCTCATTGTATATGGAATTCGCGTGGTTGCGCCACCTGGACCTTGTGGACATTGGCCCGACAGAAAACCCACCGCTGGCGGACCCGCTGACGAACCAAGTATGTGGCTTCGTCGCGCGGAACGCGGGCGCATGGCTCTGCAACCTGGATCAGCTCGGATTCATCGATGTTGTCAGGCGTATGCTGCAAGACCTGCTTCCCTCAGAACACGAACAGGGCGGCTGTCGCCGATCCAGGCTGAGTTGAAGACCTTATTCATGCGCATTGTGCGTTCACAGGTATTGGGCATGTCCCTGACCGATACCGAGCACTTCCTGCGCAAAATGAGCTACAAATTCAGTAAAGACAAAGACGACAATTTGCCCATCGTACCGCAGCTGGTGTTGCTCGGCCTACCGTCCCTGGACAGTGGGGATATGGCTGAGGCGGCAGCGCTCATTGCCACGCTCGAGGGCCACAAAGACTGGGTGCGCAACGCGTGCTGGGCCTATGAAGGTCGACTGATTGTTTCGATATCGGACGACAAGACACTTCGGTGCTGGGGCCGAGCATCATGCTGCATGCAGCACGTCACAGACGATATACTACACACGGGATACGCGAACCATCTAGCCCTCTCGCGAACCGACCCCAGCATGGTTGTTTCCATGGACAACCAGGATCTTGTGCTCTTTGATCTCGCCATTGGCGCCATCCCCATCGCGAAAAGGTCCCATTACCATATTTGAGCGAGTGGCAGAAGCAACAGAACGAGGATGCGGCCGACATAGACATTGCCTTACCCTAAGTAATAAGGATACAAATGTTATAATAAGAGAATAAGGTAGAAGATAGAGGAAGTAGCTGCTTATTCTACTAGTAGCTCAGCGGTAGTCTTTATTAATACTTATCTAGTAGTAGACTTAGAGGCAGCTTTTTAAACGTTCTAGTTACAAGAGATAAAAAAGGTTTGTGCTATAAGAGAGAGAATAGTAAATTATCTTGCTTAAGTAGCTCTGCTCTATTTGCTCTACTCTTCTCTACTTTCTATCTAATAGCTATTCTACTACTATATATATTAGTTATCTTAGATTATAGAAGAATCTATCTAGTAGTAGCTTGCGTAATCTATGGCTTAATAGAGAGATATTATTAGATAATAGCATAACAGCTTCTAGTAATAGCTTGACTGACGAGTCTTGCTGTGAAGGTCGAGTACCTTAATTCTATCAGAGATCAGCTAAGTAGCTTAGATCTCCAACAATACTATCCTAAGGCCTACTACTATCCCGTCCTTAGTGGGATATCTAGTCTTAGTAGGATAGTATATTACGTGACCTTAAGCCCCGCGATAGCTATTACCTTCTAACGTGGACGTTTATAGGCCCCCTGCCTTCTTATCTCTTATTAAGAAGAGAATCCTTCTTGTTACTTATGACACCTTTATTATAGAAAAATAAAAATAAAGAGAGTTACGTTGTTGCATGATACTTCTCTCTCTATATCCTTACTTCTACATTCTTTGTATAAGTAAGGTACTAACTAAGCTGTGTAACGTTGGCACGTGATATAATCACATGCTTTCACTCTCACGAGCGCAGCCTATTACAACAGGTATCTTGTCTAGTATATCTTTAATATAGCTGTTATTAATGAGCTTTATTAGGTTTTTGGTACCGCCTCTATAAGTCTCTTCCTTTTCTTTTCGTAACACAAAGTGTATAGGCGTACTACGTTCTCACCAGCATCTACACTGCATCGTTTATCTATATACTCGCTACAACTATAACAAGCTACACAGCTTTTGAGTATTGCAGCTCAAGGAAATTTGATGCAGATGCTGTCGCACGAAACGCATTGCACGCAACTTCTTATGCAGACCATTGTTGCGTGGAGTCTGTAAAAACAATCTCCTGTAAGCTCCGCATCCTTCGGCCCGCTCACGTGGTTGTGTTGATCATGTGACCGGCATTCACGCCCGCCCCTTCATAGTAAGCAGATTAGCATTCCTGAAAACAGATATAGTCTTTGTGCTCCTGATAATATGACAAAGCATCAAATACTTCTCGTATCGTTTGAAGACAGCTCACTTCCTCCGACTCGTTAACAATGGAAAACTTTGACGTAGCCGTCGTCGGCCTGGGGGCTCTTGGAAGTGCAGCTGCTTACTACGCTGCCTTGAAAGGTGCCAAAGTTATCGCTTTAGAGCAGTTCGAATTTGGAAATGTACATGGTGCCTCTCACGATACATCACGTATCGTCAGGACCTCGTACAACACGCCCGAGTACGTCGCCCTAGCAAAAGCCGCATATAAAGACTGGGCGCATATCGAAGAAGCTGCCGGCTATAAATTACTGCACATAAGTGGCGGTGTAACCTTTTTTGGCAAACAATCCTCGTTGAACTCTAGTGACTACGCGCGGAGTCTGGATGCGAATGATGTGCCTTACGAGCTACTCACTCCAATTGAAGTCGGGAAACGATGGCCGCAGTTTAACACTGATAATGTCGTGGACGCTATCTACACGCCTGATACTGGGATTGTACATGCTGCTCGGTCGGTTGCCACAATGCAGAGCCTAGCACGCGCCCACGGTGCCGTCCTGAAAGAGCACACCAAAGTGGAGCGTATTCAACCCGAAGGACCCCACAATGGCGTAAGGATCAACACGTCTAAAGGTCAATTTCTCGCAAACAAGGTCATTCTCGCTGCAGATGCCTGGACGAATAAGCTTCTTGAGCCGCTTGGCCTAAATGTGCCTCTCGTCATCTCCCAGGAGCAAGTCACATACTACAAGCCCTCCAGCACAGCGGATTTTGAGCCAACCAACTTCCCAGTGTGGATTCACTTTGACAAAAAATCTTTCTATGGATTCCCCACCTTTGGCGAGCCGACTATCAAATGTGCTCGCGACGAATCGCAGCATTTCATGACGCCAGAGGAGCGAGACTACGTTCACTCGCCTGAACTATTGGATGAGTTAACTGGATTCATCGACGGAATGATCCCTGATGCCGCACGCAAGACTCTTCGGACAGTGACTTGTCAATACACTGTTACTCAGGATCGCAATTTCATCATCAGCCCACTGAAAAAACATGGCAACATATTTGTGGCTCTTGGTGCCGCACATGGGTTCAAATTTGCTCCGGCAATCGGGCGTGTCTTGGCTGAATTGGCGATCGATGGGAAGACGAGTGAGGATATCTCGCAGTGGACATTTCCCGAGGCCAACAAAATGAGCAAGCTCTAAGTCCCCTCGGAAGGACTGACATCGAATCAGGAATTGGATCAATAGCATAGCACTAAATAGATCGTCATCTTGTACAAAAGTCGGTTATCACATATTTCCATATTGGAATCTGATATGAGCACCAGTTGTGATTCAAGGGCAATGAGCTACTATACGTTGGCAAGTTCAATGGGGAAATAGTCTAACCAAGACTTCCCAAACAAAGACCAATCGCCGTGAAGTCCCCCTACGTCTTCGAAGACGGTTGAGGGGTCGAGGTTGAACGCATGATCTGGTGCGACTGAGCCCGTTGATGGCTCTGCAGTTTGGCTTGCGGAGCGTAAGTCCTCTTCAACTGTGTACGACCTCTCATTATGGCAGCCCCCAGTTTCAAAGCCCCAATTGTCCGAAGGGAACTGTGCGCCGGTATTTGGTGACATAGGTGTTAAGTCAAATAGGCTGCGCATCAGCTTTACATCCTTATCCTCGATGTTTACTTGACGAGTACTCTTGGATGGAACGGCCCCGTCATATTTGTCTTCAACGTAATGAATGCTTGTGCGGTAGTGAATGCGCGCCTTGATCTGCTCCAACAAATTCACCTGGAGCTAGTAAGCTACATGCACTTTGGGACAAATGAAAGGCTCCCGCTTACGGTTTTCATCATGTCTGGCCACTCTTGCGCCACCCTCTTCACGAAATTGACACACCGCTCAAACTTCATTCGCGCGGGGACTGCAATTTTGGGGTTCTGGTTAATTGTATATTCGAGATGGATAGATGCGGCGATGGCGACCAGGCGACCTAGAAAAGGGTTTCGGACAGCTAAATGCGCATTTTCTATGTCATCGAGGAGTCGAGCTACCCAATTTGCATAGATCATTGATTGTTCATACGACTTTTGGAGGAAGGTTATGGGCATTACATGCCTGTGATGAATCGTCTGAGTGTAAATGATGAAGGGGTGGTTCCTGCAGAACTACCAGTTAACATCATGGGCGGAATAACCGAAGCTTACGTACAAACAGCACTGTGTGACAGAGAGAACGAGCTGGAAGTAAATCCACACCACAAAATAATCTCGAAGCGATGGATCAACCAGGACACGAGTTGGAGGGCCTGTGCTGGAATAATGGTGAAAAGACATTTGGCAGACTGGATAATGTCAGCAAAGTTCATTTTGTAGCTTGATCTGACTGACTAGTCTCAAATTCCATAATTTGTGTTAGCAAAGAAGCTCTTGGAGAGTTATGGCGCCATAGTGGCACGTCAGTATCTGAAGGAGACCGAGTCACGTCGACGATAACATTTTCCCAGATACTCATTATCTTTATATTTAACGACAAAACACTGTACTGCACGTGATTCGCCTCGGTGTGAAGTCGCACAATCGAAGAGGTAGCACTCTGCATTTGCGGATTCCAGTTTCGAGGAGTGGGCCCGTTTCCGCAGAGAGGGAGTTCGAATGCCGCTGAAGGTAGAGATGGATATCGTGAGCTGGCCCCGAGCATCATCCGATCAAGTAAGAATAGAGACCACACAATCTCTTGCCGGCGAGTACGAATGATGGGCTCAAGCCCATCGAGCGAATCAGCGCTCAGCAATCCTTGACTTTGGGCTACCTGTAATCCCAGCGACACCTGAGTTCTAGCTCTTTCCATTCTGCCGTCTGGATATTGTGTTAATGAAATGATTGGGGTTATCGTGCCTGCGTGCCCGTGACAATACGCACCTCCGGCGTCCACTTGCACTAGGATACAAAGCCCTAGCAGATACTCGTCATTAAAGTCAAACGCGCTGTATGCCTCGGCGAATAAATCCCATGAGGACCGTGTAAAGCGATCCAGTAGTTCCCATTTTGATACTCCTTCGTTGAGATAGGTGTGGGAGGAACGCATGCTTAATGCTAGCATGGGATAGAGAATTATCGATGGAGGAGGATCGTCGGTTTCTGGATTAAACGTGTAGAGTTCAGAAAGAAGGGGACAAGGTTGATTGTAGTACTCCGAAAAAAATAATTTGATGCCCTCAGAAAGAATCGCTTTAGAAAAAGGCGGTTGTGTATCACTGTGATTATTAACGACTGACACAGTTCTGGGAATCAAGGAACGGGTCATACACAGGGAATTTTCCTGCTGCACAAGATTCTGTAGAGAGGGTAGTAGGAGAATTCCACGATCTCTGGCGAAGATGGTGCGCACTATTGACGCTTGAGGGGTGTAGGGAGATGCCAGAAGCTGCATGGTTTCTCCTGTTCCTTGTTTAGCATTTCCCGAGGTTCTTGAAGTAAAGGAGCAAATTATGATGCACTACGACTCCCGGAGTTGCCTTTTGCACATGACTCTAGTTTGGCTATCAAGAGGAGAGTGCACAGGGGAGATAGCGGTTGCTTTTGGCCTTAGAGAAGAACAGAATTATATATGATAATGTATACGTACTCGATTGCAGCTGCCATCTGCTTTAATTGGGTCTCGATCGCGCTCAAGCGCGTCCCATGTGACGTGGCGAGCTCCGATCCTCGCAGATCCTCTTCATGGTTACTCGGGCTATGTTGATGGCGTGCATAGACACAATCTTGTTGTAGTCGCACACAGAAGGAACATGCTGGTTTCTCTCCTGTACATTTAGACTTTTTGCGACTGTCTTCGCATTAGCATTTTAGACTGCAATAGGAATGGGAAGGGCCCGTAAACCGGCAATTTCCACACGCCTGTCTTGCTCTTTTCGAGACTCCGTAGGGAGATTGGCGACGCTCAGCTCTGTCGTCACCCATTGTAAGCTTCGGGCTCGACAACTGACTGCCCGTATGTGCAAAATTTGTACATGTGGAAGCAATAGCGATACTCTGAGGGTTGCGTGCAGCAGCTAGTGCTAGACCCCGCAGTTGTCAGTCTAAGAGATAAGGTATCTACCTACTCAGGTGGTCTAGCCTAACGGAACCTAGCGTTTCCTGCCTTACTCAATTCACTATGAAATTCTGTTCAGCCTTCAACACGTACCAGTGAGGTAACTATCGTGCGCACGGCGAATGAATGTCGTAGGTTAATCAATGCTAGAGTCCCAATGGCGCGCTTATCATCACTTACTCGGAATTCACTGGCCTAGTCACAAACAAGTAAGACAATACGGTCAAGAACCTTCAATGTGGGGTCTGCTTATACCCCGCGTTTTTGGTGCTACTAAAGCCTGCTACAGCCCTTGCATACGCACATAGTTTTGTCTAGTGCAACTGCCGAAATTCCCCGCTCATGTGATCGGGATCGTGTCCGGTCACGGGTCTACCCCTCCTTTTCAGGTTCATTTTGTTCGTAATGGGAAATTAATAACAACCGCGCGATTTTGCCTCCTTGGGCGTCTATGAGAGAATTAGCTCTGTGAGTATACGTCATGATTTAGTACATTTCAAAATTCTCAAGCTGCGAAAACTCCGGAAGTCAAGAAACTGTCAGCAAGACAGCTCAGGGTGTCTTCCTCGTAGTACTGATCTGATTCCACTTCTGAGCTAGAGAGGCGTGCCAATATTCTCCAAGAAATGGACTCTAGTCACTCATTCAAACGGATTTACAGAGCTTGGAAGTTATGTCCGGATTCATGTAGCAGGTTTTCAATTCTTCGTATGCCGAAATAGCGAGAGAACGATCCAAGGATACCACAAATGTCTGTAGGCACCGCGCTTTCCTAGTCGAGGCAGAAGCGAAAGGTCAGATGAAGAATCATGCCAGCACTAACGTGGTTCACAAGCGAGCGCGCCGCTTTTCACTAGCGCATTAATGTCGAGACGTTCTTACAGACTTTTATCACAGTCAATGATATACTATAGTATACTGTGTTACTTGTTAGAATCGCTACTACTACATGTACTATCTATCCTAACTGCATAGATACGAGCGCTTTGTCTAGTCTGGTTGCAGCGCCCGCACCGCCTCTCTCCTTGCACCCTCTTCGAGGACCACTACATCTCCAATACATTGTTAGGATATTCGTTCAATATCCCCATCCCTTTGAATAAAGGATGAAATAAAAGATATTGCCAGCACGAAAAGTCGTCGCTCGCACTGCAGAGATCGCAGAAGAGAGTGAAATCTTTTGCGCCGGTCTTCCATGTATGATAAGCTGGCCTAGCAACGATGGCGGAAAGTCGGGAATGAACGCAAAATCAAGACTCATGATATGAACTATGCTTGGAAGTACCACAGAGATGAATCTTTATATCAATAATCTTGACTCAAGCCAAAATCAATTTAGTACGGAAATTGGGGACATGAATTCGCGCACGTATGCAAAGGCCTTGCGCATCACTCCTGACCATTTCTCCGTTACGCGAATAGTCTATCGCAGCTTGATAAGAATGCTGGGAAAGAAACTAGCCGGTCAGGTGAGCGGTTACATTCGCGCCTTCCGGGTAACTTCGCCACACTAGATATAGACTCGGATTGATACTAAAAGGGAAGTGTCTATCATTCAGATTCGACTCCCTACACGATAATCGTCTTTTTAGTCCTATGATTCATAGACGCAAAATACGAGTACTATTCTGCGGCAAATTGACATATCAGAAATTAGTGCGTATAACACTCTTCACGACATTCGCATATTAACAGCGGCAGTCGAAATGAGCAACGAGATCATGAGCAGGGGAGAACAGGAGAAGATGTCGAAAGTCAACTCTGCTCGCTTATCCATTGAGCACGGCGAAATCTCGCCCATTTCACATGACGTGGCCGACATGGCTCTGGTGTCCAAGATGAGATTGGTCAATCGTGTAAATTCACGTGTATTATGGACCGAAACATTTCTGTTGACTCATCGTCATAGACTATTGACCAGATTGGCTTCACCCCTTATCATGCGAAATTATTTTGTTTGAATGGATTTGGGTAAGTCTTGCGCTGAATGCCTTCCGGCGGCCGTTTCTCGATCCTTATGCGAAACCTTCCAGATACGCTGCAGATTCGCTACTCGGATTCCTTCCAAGCATCTCCGCAAGTAACGTCTTAGCCGAAATGCATGGTGACTACAAAAGAGCTGGTCAACTAGCACTATACATCGGACTCCTACTTGGCGCTCTGTTCTGGGGAATCACGGCCGACATCATTGGAAGGAAGTGGGCTTTCAACATTTCTCTCGTTCTCTCGTCTGTGTTTACCATTGTCGCCGGAGCTGCGCCCTCGTACAAATCGTGGGTGTTCTTCAACGCCGTGCTTGCATTCGGAGCTGGCGGCAATCTCGTACTCGATACAACAGTTTTTCTCGAGTACCTTCCCCATAAGTATTCATGGTTGGTGACGCTTATGGCAGCATGGTGGGGCGTTGGACAGACAGTGGCTGGACTATTCGCCTGGGCCTTTCTGCGTAAGCCACAATTGACTCTACCAATTTTTGGTGAATCTGAAATAAACGAGGATTTCGCTAATAGACAAGAACAGCGAACTTTTCATGTTCCAGCGAAGTGATGAGATGCACGCGGTCTGAAAACCAGGGTTGGCGATACCTCTACTACACAGCGGGTGGAACCGTTTTCCTGATGTGTTTTCTTCGACTCACTATCATTCGGTTCCACGAAACCCCGAAATTCTCTCTATGCCAGAATAACGATGATGCCGTTATCAAAACTCTTCGAACGATCGCCGATAAGTACGACCGAGAAATGACGCTGACTGGGGAGGAGCTACGGGAATGCGGAGAAGTCAACACATCTCATGCTCAGAGACGAGCATCTCTTTCTGAGCTTTTGGTCCACTATCGAGGCCTCTTCACCTCCAAGAAGCAAGGGTGCTTAGTTTCACTGATTTGGCTGTCCTGGTCTTTGATTGGACTGGCTTACCCACTATTTTTCATTTTCCTTCCAGAATATCTCTCAAGCCGGGGCGCAGATTTGGGGAATTCTTCTGCCTATCTCACTTGGAGAAACTATGCAATCACCAATGCTTTGGCAATCCCTGGGCCAGTCATCGCGGGCTATATGTGTAGAAACAGGGTTCTGGGCCGCAGGTTCACCATGGCTATCGGTGCTGCACTATCGAGTAAGTTATATGTAGTCAATCCTTGCGTAAATGCTGACTTGCTACAGTGATCTTTCTGTTCGCCTATACTACGGTCCGAAACGCAACCCAGAACCTCGCATTCTCTTGCGTGATCAGCATCATGATTAATCTTGTAAGTCTGGTTCTTATTCAATGGACCACGGTTATAGCAAGAAATATATGCTAATTCAGTTAACCGCCAGTACTACTCTACCCTGTACGCTTACACGCCTGAGGCATTGCCTGCTGCCCACCGAGCAACAGGCAACGGTACTGCGGTAGGATGTAACCGATTAATGGGAATCACTGCTGTAATTGTTGCAACATTTGCTAGTACCTCGAGCTCGGTGCCAATCTATTTATGTGCTGCACTATTTGGTATGATAACTGTAATCTCCGCAGTTCTGCCTTTTGAGCCTGTACGAGATCAGCAGATCTAGTTCAAGTCTATTCATTTATATACTTAGATTCTCATTCTACAATTGTTAGCTAGAATTCTCCTGCAGCTGCTATTTGTATTACTGCCTTTGTTATTTACTGCAGTGTCGGTTGTTATATAATTATAGGATAAAGTACGTTCTATATATATTGAGTTAGAGGCTTCGCTACTAAAAGTGCTTAAAAACTAGTTTATTATCACGGTGCGACGCTCCAAAAGTAAGCTTAAGTATCGGCTACGCAGACAACAACGGAGCTTTGTTGTCTTGTGCTTGCCTTTTGGCTGCGTGGTAGGCGCGTGTAGCTGCGTGTGCGGCTCCGCTAGGAGCCCTCCATGACAACTCTCTTCTAAACTAATTTCGTAGTATTATACTCTAACTTAGTTATTTTATAATTAATAGTAAGGCTATCTTATTTATATAAGTAGCGTTATAGCTAGTAAGTATTATAGGAGAAAGTAAAATAGATTAATTTTTTACTATGTTTTAATAGTTTATGCGGGTGGTAAGATATTAGTTAAAGAGTTTACTAGCTGGCTAACCTATAACACTAGTTTTCTATACTAGATACAGAATATCTAATAATTAGTAAGTAATAAAATAAATGCCTAGATATCTGATTATAGTGCTCACTTTATATACATAGTTATAATAACGCGCCACTAATGCCGACCCGTGCTTACCGCGCGGTCGTTTAACGCATTATCGCGTGGTCGAATAATCTTTGCCTAACGGAACTAATTACATAACTAGTTAATTGACGTCTGTCCCTCTGTGGTGGAATCCCTGTACCCCAGAACTGGCCGATCAGCTCGCAAGTTTTTGACAGAAGTCAGTGATTCAAGCGAGCTGATTGGCCGGGCCTGGCATACGGGCATTTCCATCGCAGAGAGATAGACGTTAGCGCTCGGTGATTTAAGTAATATGATTAGTAGTGCTATTTCGGCAAAATATCAGTACATTGTATATAGCTTTTGTCTACAAAGAATAGCATCTTTTTATCTATAAGAACACTCTGTACATAACTAGGCTTCACCACCCTATCGAGATGCATACGTCAATTCTAGGTTCGGAATTTCCGAGTAAGACAAAAAAGAAAGAAACACCATTGTGGGAGTAGGTAGATATCATATTGCTTGATTCTAGCACATTGTTATCCTGCCTTTATACTAAAAATCTTATTTTCTTAGGGCTTTACCAAAAGTCCATCACTGGCTAACTGTACTGCCTAGTTCTGATGGTACTTATGTATTGTTCTCAGAAGCCAGTCGCGGACCAAGCCACGGGTCCAGCACCATTGTCACCCAAATTAAAGACGTATCAGGTGGTCGAAACTACGTCTTTGCAGCACATCAGCCACTTACTTCACCACTATGGCTGGACCGCACCATACTTATCTGGAGTATTATCCATGCTGAAAATACTCAAATATGGTCTATCGACGTGAAATCCTCGTCGCCAAGGTTCGTAAACCATATTGCTTGATACTCTAGACCTTTTGGCATTTACTGATGTTACATGATTGGATAAAGAGAACATATAGTAGGATGCATCCCATGTGTTGCATCAGGCATGAAGGTGCAGCGACTCAATGATTCAAAATATGGAATCGTTTTTGAATCAAAAATTTCAGAGAAAGACAATGAAGGCAAGTCAGCCACATGCGATAGCTCTGGAAGGCTGTACACGAGGTTTCCCTTGCGTTTTGAGAAGTTATACCGCCCTGAAAAGGAAGCTCAGTCGACGATCTTCTTCTCGCTACTAGAAAGAGAAGGGACAAACCTACATCTTGCAAGCTCGCCTCCTCTTAATATTTTGGATGGTCTAAACTTATCCCTCAGTGTCTGGCCAGACAGAGCATCATTTGTGCTCACGCGATATGGGTTGTTATTCACGACTGCAAACCCTAATACTAAGAACGCAATGTTGACTCAGAAAAAGCTTCTCTATTTGAAAAAGGACTGGCTGAGTGGAAGCACCGTCACTAAAGTTACTGCACTTGGTTGCAAAACTTGGACTGCGGATCCTCATTCATTCTCTGTTTCCGATGATGGATTGTTTGCCACGTTCCTCCAATATCAGGATCCAAACTCTTGCTTTGATCACGATTCAGTCTTTGTTGTTTCTTTTTCTACTCCAGAACAGTCACATCGTGTCAGTCTCTTTCGAAATCAGCAGGGAGCGGAAAACACACCTTGGAATCCACGGATACTTTCAATATCTTGGGGCTCCCAAACCTCGTCATCACTTTATGTTATTATATACGAGGATGGCAACATGCCTGTTTGGAAGATCGATATATCCCAAGATGATGGAAAAATGGGTTGGAAGGGCCTAGCAACGCCAGTATTACAGAATGGGTGCGTTTCATCATTATTTACATTAACTAGGCGAGAAGGCCAAGAAAGAATCTTGGTAGTCCGTTCGACATTCGACAGGGCAGGCATCGTTGAGATTATAGCACATGATGCTGATTATCAAACTGGGGTTCGTTTGATTGCCGAACACTGCGTCCCATCGTCTTCGGCAATGCATGAGAAAAACTCCTTCCAGGGCGCCGAGGCTAGAATATCAGCATTTATCCAGAAACCCGGGCATTTCGTATCTGGCAAGAAGTACCCAGTGATCATCATACTTCATGGAGGTCCTAATGATGCCTGGAGAGACTGCTGGCCGAAATTCTGGAACCCGTTAGTCTGGACAGATCAAGGGTATGTAGTTATCACTCCAAACATCAGCGGCTCAACAGGATATGGAGTTTCGTTTGCGACTTCCATCTACCAGGACTGGGGCGGCAGAACGTTGACAGATCTCGAGTGTCTTTTCTCTCACATGGAAACTTCTATGCCATTTGTCGATTTGTCTCGCGTCATTGGAGCAGGCTACAGTTTTGGTGGATACATGATGAATTGGATCGCGGGAAACCGCTTATCTACTCGCTTCTGCGCCCTGATTGTACATGCAGGATTGTATTCCACCCGAAATTTAATGTCTGGAGACTTCCCTGTGTAAGTTATAGAATAATTTTTCTATTATTTTATTTATTATAATAGCTATAATAGGTATAGCGTTATATAAATAACTTAGTAATTACTTCTATAACT